TCGAAATGCTGTCACATGACCACGTGTACACTGCCACTAACAGGGAATTCCTACTCATTGCGGCACTGTTCTTTACAAAATTTTCTGGAACTTACCACCATACATCAACTTCCTTGACTGTGAGAAAGCATTTCACAGCATGGATAGGAGGACCTTATGGAACCTTTTTCGACACCATTGAGTACCTGAAAAAATCATCAAAATCATCCGTAATTCATACGACGGACTACACTGTAAAGTGGTGCATGGAGAACAGCTGAAAGATGCATTAGATATTTTTACTGTCTTTAAACCTTTCAGTGTTTTGTTTTGATTGACTTATTTGTAAGTGACATTGTGTATAGTGAGTATTAAGATCCCTCAAATGCCCTAACACAGTCGAGAGTGAAGAGAGTCCATCCTTCCTCTTGAAATGCTCTCACATTGCCACGCGTATATAGCCTCTGCCAGGGAAGTCCTACTCACTTCCTTCTCGTGGCGGGGGTGTTGTTTACGAAATTGAGAGAACAAAAAGCGATTGTCCAGCGATTTAACCGGGTTAGTGGACACAGACAGTTCACTTAGGGGAGTTGGAAAGCCCTGATCCCAAACCAATGGTGCACATGGGCTCCAGGATCCTGAGAGAACAAAAGGCGTATGAACCTATTGTTGGTCACCGGCTACCATGGGACTGCATGTCTTTACGTTGCCCCACTGCCTTGTGGATCAGACTTTTAAGTCAAAGCCTCGGGGTGTAGGGCCCCCTAAGAAAATCATTTGCTTCGGTCTGGGCATCCAAACAGTATCCCAGCCCACAAACAAATCAACTGACTTGTGTGGCGCATATATATTTGTTCTCCCTCTGTACCAATATTTATGTGTTCAAATAAATAAATAATATAAATTTATGCTGAACATTTATTATGATAGGAGGAAAATCTCTTTAGTGTTCATTTTGACATATTTTGAGTTTTAAGTGTCGTTATCATAACGTATAGGTCATTTAATAAGTAAATGTTTATACAATTAACTTATAGATTGCTTGTGTGAAATCCACTGGTTTTATTCAGCTAGGTAAATAGGTGTAAACTGAGTATGAGTTCGAACTTGTTAACTTTTGGTTATATGACTACTGCCATCATACCACTGCTACACAAGTTGTAGGCCTCTAATACTGAATTTTGTTTTTAGACAAATCTCCCATCCTGTAGTTTTTGTACAACTGATAAGTTTGTAATACACGATTTTATGTTAGTTAGAATAGTTGACATGTGATTTGCCAGTTAAGTGTACCTTCATCTGAATGTTAGTTTTAACATTCGGATCGGAATCAAGTACCTTCCACTTCAACATAAAAGTGTTATCTACTTAGCTATTAATACCAGATAGGTTATTGTAGGAAATCATTAGAATGCTTTGTACTCAATTTTCGTTTTAGCTAACATTTTTCAGTAAGCCTTTGGGACGTTTAAAAATATTCATTGCTCTCTATATCATCCGTACAATGTAAAATACAATTATAATCCACGTGATTTTATGCTACTGAGAGTGGTTGCCTACACGACTACCTGAGGGGTACCATTCGATCGAAGTTTACAAGTCGGCAGTTCATTATTCAGCAATTCAACGATTCAAAGTGATCTCGAGTGTTGTTAGAGTTGTTTATGTCACTTCTCGGTCAACGAAAGATTATTGGTCTTGAGAGACCTTCTTATGAGTAGTTCTTGACGTGTCCTTATAAGGCATTAGCAACGGCAACGAGAAGCTTTAGGGCAAGGTGTGGTGTGATTTTTAAAACTGACCTTTTCTAAGGCCTTCCGTTTCGATAAGACAGGATCACAACGGATATTAGTTATCTAAGGGAAATACCCAACAGCCGGTCGTACGGCTTCGTCCTTATACTGCGAGTTTGTCGCCTTTAGTATCACCACTTTCCAACCAACTTGTTTGGCATGATCAGGTTTTTCAGTTGATACACTTCGATTAGGTAATCACGTTAGCTAAGGCTGATCGTCACATCATGGTTACAGCCACAATCGAGACAGTTTATTGGTGTTTACGTATGATATTGTTGAACGTCTATATGTACATGTATTTGTATCTTTGAAACAAAAAAGAAGTAAGGTTTGTTATTTATGTTATGTTCTATTTAACTGTGTATTTTGTCATGTTTTCATCTGTAGCGAATTACCGATTTTAATCTAATGTACCATTATAGGACAGTCAAATTAATCAGATGTGAAATAAATTGAATGGTGGTATTGAAAACAGTCCGGGTTTTTTTGTTTTGTATTTGGATCTGATGAAAGTCACATGATTAGATTTTGGTAATGTTTAATTAGAATGTGAATGATTTATGATGCATGTTTTAGTAATTGGAAACATTGATACCATGGGGAAAGTGTGTAGTGTTATTACCAATGTAGTGAACGAGATCACAAGTGGGGACAGCCAAATGTATTTGGATATAAAATTACACAACATTTTAGTAAATTCTGAGAACTATACAGTAAACACTTCATTTGCAACATGTCCATCAATTGTCTCAAACTTGTCTGTTCCTTCTGAAAAATGTCAGCCGATTGTTTTGGACTTCATTGTTCCTTTGTTTCCACAGCAATTATACTCTGTTCTCGTTCTTTTCTCTTCGATCTCAACCATCTACTTCCAGGCATTCAACTTTCGATTGGTGATTCATACTACTTATATCTGTCGACATCAGTAGCACACATCGCACCGATAACTCAAATTTACCAATATTCATTGATGGTGGATAAATTGATACTTTTATAAATCTCCGTTCAATTTTTTAGATGATATAGTTGTATTTGGTGAAGATGTTGACAAAATAGTCTTCTGACCGTTTTAAGGTACCATGTTAGCATGTTAGGGATGCTTTCGTCTCTCTCTCTCTCTCTAAATAAAAAATATTTCTTCAGGAACGGTCTGTGTCTGAGCCATGTAGGTAGGTGCATACTCCGTGGTTGGGGTTTAAGTGACTAAATTGGTGGTTAGAGACTTCGTGTGAAACATCTCCGAATTGCTCACAATGTTGTTGGTGCATTTACCCTCGTTTTTTGCCTCCAGATTCTAAGTTTTTAAATTCCTTTAGGCTTTTTTCATCCAAATGGTTCATATTTCTTGAATTGTATCTTGGATGCCCAATCTTTTCTATTATCACTAATATTATTATTATTGTTACTCTGGGATCGGTCCTGACAGTTGCATCTCTCTGTGCTAATTGTGTTTGACAGTTTTAACCAATGTACACATGTGCCATATTCTACATTGTATGTGATTAACTGACTAGCTTAGATAATTTTTTTGCTATAAACCAAATACTTAAACCTGTACAGGGTCGCTGATTTTGAAATTGATCATCCTCAGTCTCTGTTAACATTAGCTTATCCTGAGCGATTTCCTCGGTATTGTCTATAATCCTAAGTTTTACTTTGGATATTGTTGGCATCTAAGTTGAGTCCATCTTTCTCATATTATGTTCTACTGGTAGCTATGATGGGTAACTTAAAATGTTTTTAATTATAGTAAATTATCAGGAATTAACTCACAATGAGTGTATGTTAACAGTGACCAATCAAATACAGTCTTGAATATAATAACAGCCTTATTGAACTTGCTGAACTTGTCAAGGATTAATTAGTCTTAGAAACTTAGTTAATAAAGCTTCGACATTTAAAACGATAGGTATTAGGTTTTGATTTCGGTATGAACATCAACACTGGAATGCAAGCATATCTGATCAATAAGTCTCCGATTGGACAAAACGCTTGTCTTGCATACCAATTCTAAACCTTAATTTCGGTAAGGATTCACTGTTTTTAACCTTAAAAACTTGAATGTTACCCGAAAACAAGTGACTTGTGCTATTGTGTAAAAGGAATTGAATTGATAAAATATTTTGCCAGCAAGAAACGTATTGAAATATTCAGCAAAGATGGATAATGGTTAGCAGTGAAATTCAGTTTGACTCGCGTTTCGTCCTATTGTGGGACTCCTCAGCAGTGCGCATCCACAATAGACTTAAAACTATGGAGTATGATGAGGTTATCGAGAACGATCGTTCTCTCTAATACTTTTTATTATTACTGTTAGAAAAGGATAATCTCAGTACAATTGCAATTGGTGAAATGATGCATAGATTAAAACGTATTTATCAAATACAATTATTTATGAATTCGTCTTTGTAACATACATTTTGTACAAAGTTCGAGAATACTTTTCAGAGTAGAGATAAGAGTCAGAAATTTGAATCTGTTAGTGTAAAGTCAACTGACATCCATCAAAGAAATATCAGTTCCTTCATGGTTTCACATATGCCTTGTTTATGAATGCCAACTAGTATGAAACCTAGGTCTACAATATATTGCCAGTTACCTTCAATCACATGGGATTAACAGTTATCTGCTTCAATCATTAGGACAAATGTTTCAAGTAGCTTTCATTGCCTTTGTAAATACTTACTTACTTACTTACGCCTGTTACTCCTCGTGAAGGAGCATAGGCCGCTCACCAGCATTCTCCATTCAACGTCGTCCTGGGCAATCCTTTCTAGCTCCGTCCAGTTGTAATTCATCGTTTTCATATCTGCTTCTATTGTCCGACGCAATGTGTTCTTTGGCCCTCCTCTTTTTCGCTTCCCTTCAGGATTCCAAGTTAGGGCTTGCCTCGTGACGCAGTTTGACGATTTGCGTAATTTATGTCCTATCCATCTCCATCGTCTTTTCCGAATTTCTTCTTCAGCTGGAAGTTGGTTTGTTCTCTCCCACAAAAGGCTGTTGCTGATGGTATCCGGCCAATGAATGTTGAGTATCTTGCGTAGACAGCTATTTATAAATACTTGTACCTTCTTGATTGTGGTTGTTGTTGTTCTCCAAGTTTCAGCTCCGTACAGTAGAAGCTCAATATTCTTTAACGTAACTGACAATTGATTTTCATTGTTCTTTATTTCCACCCATTCTCTTTTATAATTTTTTATTCTTTCATAATTTATCAATATACAGGTAAGTTTGATCATGAGAATGTTGTCAAATTTCTATTATCAAGCTTTCGAACAATTCAAAGATTCATCACATCAAATTAGTCAGATACTTCAAGCTGCACAGCGTGTAAGTGAACCTATTTCCGCCCTCTCTCTGTGTTTCCTCTTGTATAATTTAATATTTTGTGTGTATGTGTACATGTATATGTTGTGTATTTTCGTATTCCACTGGATAGAAATAATTTATTGTATAGCATATTGTCTTTCAATATATGTTTCGTCGTTATGTTAATTAAGATAGTTCAGTAGAAAACTATTGACCAAGGTTTCTTCCTGGTTATCTCTTATTACCAGACAATGTCTTTAACATAGAGAGAGAGAGAGCATCCAGTAGGACCTAAATTCACATGTTGTGTCATACCTATTTAACGTTAAAAAAACTTACTATAGTTCGGAGATAGATTTCTTCAACTGGTCACTGAGTGGTACCCAGTGCTGTCGAATTATGAGTGTTGATCAATGGTCAACATGTAAATTTATAGTGTAGTTACTAGGGGGTCTTACCTGGATGTCATCGTAAACGTCTATGTAATATAGTTGGAGGCAATCCAGTCTGTGCAATCAATTTTTTTTAATAATTTGGGACGGACTACCTTGTCATAATTTGTTTGGATCTTCGATGATACAGATTTTATCCTTGATAGAGCTAAACTCAAGCTGTTGATATTTTCATGTATGTACAGTACCCATCATTCAGTCTTTCTGCATAAGTGATACATCTCCTACTCTTCAAGAATACAAAGATCGGTACTAAAATTAATCCCTGGTATTTTATCCAGAGTAGTTTTTTTGATGAAGTTGAAATATAAGTCGTAACAGAGCTAGTGCATGCTTAAGTTAATAGGAAAAAGAAATATACTTTATTTAGAAAGATGTTAGATAAATTACCTTAATTGAACATTTGTAACACAGATTTTAATAATGTGAAGCATACAATCAGATCAAAATGGATAATAACGTTTTGAAGTACGAAATTATTATCGTAGTATTTATCAATCCTCTGGGTACATTTTGCAGAAAGTAGATATACGCCTAAAACGTATCATAACTACGACGTTTGGGAATGACAATTGTCACCTAGAAAACAGCAGTTAGGAATAATTCTTTTCTCGGCCCCCCAATGCCCTGGTACGACCGAGGGTGGAGAGAGTCCGCTCTCCCTCTCGAAATGCTCCCACATGGCCATGTGTATAGAGCCACCGCTCGCAAAATCCTACTCACTACCTTCTCATGGCGGGGCTGTTGTTTACGAAAATGAGAGGACGAAGGCAAATGTCTGGCTCTTTAGTCGGGTTGGTGGATATCGAGGTTGGACCTAGGGAAGTTGGAAAACCCTGATTCCAAACCAATGGTGCACATGGGCTCCAGTATCCTGCGGAAACAAATGGCGTATGAACCAATCGTTGGTCACCGGCTACCATGGGACTGCATGTCTTTACGTTGCTCCACTGCTTCGTGGATCAGACCTTTAGGTCAAAGGCTCCAGGTATGGCCCCCTAAGAAAACCACATGGTTCGGTCTGGGCACGCGGGCTGCATCACAGCCCACAAACAAATCAGGATGTCATTTTTGTTTAAGTGACTCAAATTTGAATGAAAAAGAAATGCCCTAATTTAAAAGAAAAACTGTGTAACATATTACTGAATTGCACATATGAAATAGTCCAATAAATTAGCTCACTCATTAGGTACCTAGTTATGAGATATACTCTAAGTATAAGGGAAAATGATTCTACCCGGTCACTTGAACTAAAGCGTATGAAGCATCGTTCAAACCTGGAATTTGACAAGTAGAGGTCAAATACCATGGGTCTAGCGTATAGATTGAATTTAATTGATGTGATTTAATCTACTATTACACTGAGTGCTATGTATTGATATATGTTTGATCGACCTTAGTGGATTTGTAACAGCTTTCCTCTCCTAAAAAATGATTAGTCATTGACTTTTTATTGTACATAAAGTTTCAAAATAGAACATGATTAATTACTTAACTATTGCTCTCTCTGTTTTTAGTCTTTTATTTCCATTGTTTGTTGAGCTGATATGAACTTACAAAGCAGTCATAAACAACGTTAATAATTTCTTATAATTCTAAACTGATCTAATTATTTGATTAGAATACCTTTAAGGATCCAAAATAAACTTTAGAAAAGTAACATTCAAGTTAGTTAACATTCATAGAAGATGAGTTCAACCAATCCTATAAATCAGTATAGGGGTTGTGGAGATTGTTAAGTTTTTTGATTGAGATCATGAATCAATTGATGTTAGACCACCGTTGGAAACCTGGAAGCACTGGACGGCCGTTTCACCCCAGTATGGGACTCCTCAGCAGTGCTCATCCACGATCCCGCTCCACCGCGAGATTCGAACCCAGGACCTATCGGTCTCGCGCCAGGCGCTTAACCAACTAGACCATTGAGTCGGCATTCAATAGTGTTAGTGTCTAACATCAACCAATCCAAGAAATTGCGCGACCAACTTCTATTGTACTGAGGTAGATACCTGTCTCTACCCGACACGGATTAGCTCCACTGGTCACGGCTTCTCACTGATAATTAACATGTGCTAACTAGTGACTAGCATCGTGAGGGAATTCTCGGAGTTCTAGTGAGAAGCAGTGATCAGTGGAGTTCAACCAAATCTCTTGTGAGATAGTATTTCACTGATGATAATGGTGGATTTGTCACTCAGTTTCGTAGATTGGTTGATGTTAGACACTAACACTATTGAATGCCGACTCAATGGTCTAGTTGGTTAAGCGCCTGGCGCGAGACCGATAGGTCCTGGGTTCGAATCTCGCGGTGGAGCGGGATCGTGGATGAGCACTGCTGAGGAGTCCCATACTGGGGTGAAACGGCCGTCCAGTGCTTCCAGGTTTCCAACGGTGGTCTAACATCAATTGATTCATGATCTCAATCAATCTCATAAAGCCAGAATTCAATAAGAATACATGGACATGTAAAGACAGTTACAGTCTATGACCTAACGGTTAATCACAAACATGTACATCGTAACTAACTGATATAACTCTTGTAGAATAATTGAGGCATTCACTTCTAGATAAATTACCTGCTGAAGTTGTTGTCTCAAATGACAATGCCAATCCTATCATTCAGCAATCTAGTTTAGCCAGCGTAACATCAAATTACTCTTTTCCCTAATCTTAACTATAACCACAATCAAGAACAATTTATTTATTTATTTATTATATATTTAAACACATAAATATTGTTACAAAGGGGCACCAAATAAGTATGAGCCATACACATCACTTGGTTTGTTTATGGACTGTGATACTGCCCGGATTCCCAGACCGAAGTAGGTAAGAGTTAAAGAAATTGGGTGTTATATAATCATATAGGTTTATATATGTTGTATTTTTCCTATTTGCATTCAGATGACTGCATAAAAACCTGATAAATTTCTCTATGGTGACTCTAAGAATTGTTCAAACTTATCCTTCGACACTGTTCTCTTTGATGTTTATTTTCATTCTTAGTTTGATGTAATGTATTTTAATTTCATCACCTCTCTTTTTTTCCTTTTCTTTATCTCATCAATATTAGTCTAGTGAAAATTATGAACAAATTAGTTTAGAGAGTAAAACACTAACAGAAAAACTACTCAATACACCATGGGAACAAATACAATCTACAAATTTAGCTGATACACGTGAAGGTTATGTATTTGTTGCTACAAAAAGTAAGTTAATTGAGTTTATATATTTAATGTCATTTGTTGTTTTTGTTGTTTCCAACCCAAATGGTTTAATTGGAATAATTATATTATCGGTTTAGGCAAACACATCATCATCAACATTGACTTAAGTGAGACTATAATTTATGAACGACCTTTGAGCGACTCTGAAGTGATCTAGAAAGTGTCCACCTAATAACCAGAACCAAATGAGGGTTATAAACCGGAGTGGAGAAATAGAATTGATTTACAGTTGATGATTAGGGTTAAGAATTAGATTTAGGGTTTTCATCACGAACTGATATAGGTTGTAATGCCAAAACTCTATTTACCCAAATGGATGAATGGATTTCGCGTCAAAAATCCGAGACCTGTTATCTTATATGTGATTGGTTCGTATATAAATTATAGTCTCACCCTTACTTACTTATAGAAATGGACTTTTGATTTATTGCACAAGTATCAATCCAATTCACTTTGATCACATTGTTTGTTATTAGTTGTTTTCATAGGTAGAGTTGTGTACATCTATTGTTGTATTCAAGTTGACTATCTTTGTCCAGTTGAGTTCTGAATACACTGTTTGATTTCTTCTCCGTATATATTGATAGGTTATATTTTTTTTATTAAAAATGATATAAATGTTCAATACTCATATAAACTTCTGTAAATCCTTATCATTTGTGGTAAGATGAAGATTTAAAGTGTCGACTCAGGTGATATGTTTGTCATTAGCTTAGTTGACATTACTTTTTGTATGTGGTTTAATTACACTGAAGTTTGTAATAAAATTAAGAAAAATTATCTTTCAATGATAATTTCTTTCACCTAAGTGGACTTTCACTTCAATATATATACAGTGTTCATATATTCTAAGGTTAAGAAATATATTTAAATGGATAGGTTTTAATAAGGCATCAGTAGGCCTCTACATACACAAGGAGCGGAAAACAACAATCCAATCACTCTTGATGGCGAAACTCTGGAAGATATAGAATCCTTCACATACCTGGGAAGCATCATCGGTGAACAAGGAGGTTCAAATGCAGACGTAAAGGCGAGGATTGGAAAAGCAAGGACCGCATTTCTACAATTGAAGAACATATGGAACTCAAAACACCATTCAAGCAATATCAAAGTGAGAATCTTCAATACGAACGTCAAGGCAGTTCTATTGTATGGAGCTGAAACTTGGGTAACTATTACAACCATCATCAAGAAGGTACAAGTATTTATAAATAGTTGTCTACTCAAGATACTCAACATCCATTGACTGGATACCATCAGCAACAGCCTTCTGTGGGAAAGAACAAACCAACTTCCAGCTGAAGAAGAAATTAGGAAGAGACGATGGAAATGGACAGGACATACATTACGCAAATCATCAAACTGCATCACGAGGCAAGCGCTAACTTGGTATCCTGAAGGGCAGCTAAAAAGAGGAAGGCCAAAGAACACATTGCGTCGGATAATAGAATCAGATATGAAAAGGATGAATAACGACTGGAAGGAGGTGGAAAGGATTGCTCAGGACAGTGTTGGGTGGAGAATGCTAGTGAGTGGCCTATGCTCCTTCACGAGGAGTAAGTAAGTAAGTAAGTAAGTTTTAATAAGGAAACGTGTGTATATTCATCGACAAACTTTCTAAATGACAACGTTTGTGTTGAGAACCGTCAACTATTGTTCAAAACATCTTCGGAAGCCAAGAAAATGCTGCAGAAGCTTTGATCAATTAACTTTGGCAACGTTCAAGAGCAGTTTTAAAAAAATGGCGAATTGTCTTAACATTGTCTTGATTGCATTGCTATCGAATTTGTTTACGATTTTAACATGTTTTTCGGAAGCTTCTAGAATTCCAAGGTTTCATATAAATACTTTTGCTTTTTTCACATGAGTAGTTTTGGAGTAAAGGATTTTTAGAGAGTAGAAAACAGTTTGGAAGCATAGCCGTTCATGAATTAGATGGATCATCTTAAGTTGGGACTCTTCTCGAGATCTAAGGACTCTATTCGATCCTACGTTATTTATTATTTACTTATTTGAACACAAATATTAGTACAAGGAAGCACCGAATACATATGCACCCTACAAGTCACTTGATTTGTGTGTGGGATGTGATGCAGCTCGTGTGCCCAGACCGAACCACATTGTTTTCGTAGGAGGCCACACCTCGACCGTTCGACCTAAAAGACCGATCCACAAAGCAGTGGAGCAACGTCGGGAGATTCAGTTCCATGTTACCCGATGACCAACGATTGGCTCGTACTCCATTTGTTCTTTCAGGATCCTGGAGCCCATGTGCACCATTGGTTTTGAATCAGGGTTTTCCAACTTCCCCAGATGGATCCTACATATTTGATTTTTAATAGCTCTCTGTAAGGAAAATGATTTCATCATATCAAAAATGAATAACTGTTTGTAAATAACCGTTTTAATCATGAAACCTAAATTTCAAAGTGAAATACTTTCTGTTTTGAACATTCACATTTTATATTCTGTAAATTTCCATATTAAGCATCTTAATCAGTTTCTTTAAAAGAAAAAATAAAAGAAGTTCACTTTAACAGTGAGCTTATCTGTGATTAAAATCACTTTAATATATCAACCAAAACATTGTATCACATTACACTATTCTAGAAATCATATGCATCGTACCTCCAGATTCTTTTTTGATCTATAACACTAATTAATCCAGAAAAATAAGTTCTGTTGACACTTGGGTTATTGATCTGTAATTGAAATATGCATATTACAAGATTAAATTAAATGAATTTATTACTTACATCACTCTTTAAGTAGTTATTATGTTGAATCTATCTGTATATAACAACATAAGTTCATTTTAGTTTCTTTCAGCTTTCTCAATTTATAACTGTAATGATATGTCATTCAGTTTATCAATAACTAAGTATATTATAATATAGTTTACCCTGTGCTAAGATAATTAGTGAAGATAAACTTAGTTAGTTAATGTGTTATGTATGTTGAGTCAGTGTCTGCTTTGATAGACTATGCTAGATGTCCTGGAGAAAGTCTTGAGATGACTATGAGAAGATATAACATCAGTGTAGTAAACAAGAACACAAGCGGGAACAATAAAATGTATTTGAACACAAAATTACACTATCTCTTAGTAAAATCATACATTAAATACTTCATTAACAAAATATCAACCAATCATCTCTGAATTGACTGTTCTTTCGTTTCCACAACAATCATTCTCTGTTCTCGTTCTCTTTTCTTTGATCTTTTTAACCTTTCTCCATCAGGTATTTCACTATCGATGATACACAATATTTATATCTGTCGACATCAGTAATACACACCATATCAGTACAATATATCCTTATTGCCATCCTTCTTTATATATTACCACCTCTGAATTAACCACTTATATGAATCCGGTGTCCATCTTGTTGTGTTAATGAGGTATGGCAACTTGGACCGATGCATATATGTGCCTGGTCCTATGTTGTGGCTGACTGACTGACTGACAATAAATCATCCGCTGTTGGTTTGAACTCAGGATAAAATATAAGCTCCTCGATTGAAAACTATGTATGGTTATGCTTATCACTACAATCAAATGTTATCGCCAACTATGTATATCAGTGTATATCTATCTGTCTGTCATATTGGTTCACTGAAATCGGGGGTTTCGTTATTCTGTATTCGTGCGATCTGGTAACATGGATAAAGACAGAATTACTCCGTAGTTCGTCACAATTTCTACATAAAACAATGTTGTCCAAATTTCCTGAGGCACCTAAATTTTTAATCGCTTTAGAAAATGTTTGTTTTGTACACTTATTTACTACTCTATTAAATAAACTGGTTAATAGATTATTTTGACTGTTTCATATCCAACTGATCATTCTCAGAACTGTTCTATTTTCTATAAATACAAAGCAAATAAATAAATGATTCACGGGTCATTCTAAGCTAGATCACCATAGAAAACCTGGAAGAACTGGATGGCTGTTTCGTCCTTACATGGGACTCCTCAGTAATGTGCAATCAAGATCCCGCATGTTGGACTCGAACTCGGTTTTGATTATTTATTCGGTCACTTCTTTCATGATTACTTTATCTTACTAAATCCTATTGCTTATTGTATTGTGTCTTTCTCCCCACCCTCTATCTTGTATAGAAGCTGTTATGACAATTTGGACAAAAAATTTCTGTACATATAATCGTAATAGTAAAATATTAAAGCTTACACCTTATACTCAATATCAAGATAATGATAATGTAAGTCTATTCATTTGATTCTAATAATCAGCGTTTATAAAATTGGTTTGAACAAAATTACTTTTTCTTAATGAACCGATCAGGATCATGATATTAATTTTAGCTTTATGCTCAAAATTCAAAACATATGTCCATCTATCAATGTTTTATTGCTTCAAACACCTAAAACTAGTACAAAGGATTCTTTTGTTAGTATAGGGATTGTGGAGATTATTAAGTTTTTGATTCAGATCATGAACTGATTGATGTTAGACCACCTTTGTAAACATGGAAGCTTTGGATGGCCGTTTCTTCCTATTGTGGGACTCCTCAGCAGTGCGCATCCATTTTTATGTTGTCACGTGGTATAAATGACTTAGTACGAATTCAAAAACATACTAGCTGCACACTTCCCCTAATATGAAATGTACTTAACACATGAATGGTGAAAAATTTACTTAATTTATTCGAGGTGAATCATACTCTTTATGCGACCTGGGAAAGAAACTGCATTAAGAGTGGTCTTGACAACCTATAAATGTGACTGTAGAGCTCCATGGATAATAATATAAAGGCCAGTTACGCATAGAATTTTTCAGTTACTTAATCTGTTAACTACATACTTCGAAAACTTTGCAGATAGTAAAGGAAATTCGTGGGACAATGTGAGTTGTGCTATTTTTAAGAGCTACTTTTTTATCCGTGCTTATTGCAGGAACGCAGCTTCAGTTAAGATGGTGGTTGTTTGATGAAGATACCTTGCTGGCGCGCATTTCATTACAGTTAACAATGAAGCTTTATCCTGGAATTTTAAGTTACTGCCTGTGATCTAACTGTTTTCCAACAAACCTTTCTGTCTAGCTAAACCCTTACGAACGATGGTTTCAGGCAATATATCTCGATCAGGTTACCACAATATAGAACCATGACTACTACCTTATGTTAAAGGCTACAGTTAAATAAAGAAAAGATAGAAAAGGATATCTGATTTTGTAATGGTGGTTTTGGTATGCTGGTGTTTGAGAAATTCATTTGCATACTTCTTACGATTGTATTTTTTTGTTGTTGAAAAAACAAATCTCTTTCATTGAAGAATACCGAAGTATTGAATGTCATCTCGTGTAGAAGACGATCAAATGATTCCATTGATAGACGTTGGTGTTTTGATATTGAAGTATCAAGAAGGTAAGGATATATTGTTACGGTTTTACAAAAGGTTTTTTGTAAAATAAAATGATGCATGATTTTCAGTAAGAACTGTATAAACATCTAAAATTTGTGTGAAATCAACTACAATTGTCAATAAGTTTAGTACTTATGAATAATTCTTGTATCATGTTAGGTAATTTTTAAATATTCGTGGGTTTTCATTCAAGCACTTCATTAAATATTGACCGTGTTTTGAAAAACTCTGCCTATAGCTCTTCTAGGGATACTGTCGGCCTCAAGCCAACACAAAGGAAGAGGGTTGGGCGTGTGGTTGACAACCTCATCCCGTAGAAAAAAAGATTGCTAAAAGACACTAACCAGATTAAACAAACTAAACCATTTGAACTCTGCCCTGGGATTTTAAGAAAAAAATTATGACGCCTCATGATAAAAGCCAAGATTCTTCGGAAGTTACGAGGCCGATGACCCTTCTAGCAACCAGAAGAACAATTTTTATACGTACAGGGATCGTCCGGACAATGTGAGGGAGCAGGAGGACCAGTCAAATAGCTAAGGAAATGATGAGATACAACTTGGCGGTTCTCGGAATTAGCGAAACCAATTTGACACTAGCTGGATAGCTAAGGATAGGTACGGGAGAGATGCTGCTGTACTCCGGTCACGAAGAGGGGAATGCTCCGCACACTTAGGAAGTTGCTCTGATGCTTTCCAAAGAGGCTTGAAACGCACTTATAGGATGGGAATCTCATGAACCTAGGATAATCAAAGCATTCTTCAAAACGAAAGACGGGATTACAATAAATGTTATCCAATTTTGTGCACCCACCAATAATAGCAATGATGACGATAAATGTCAGTTCTACGAGAGGCTGAAATCGATCATGGTGAAGTGCCCAGGAAACGACCTGACTATCTTAACGGGAGATCTAAACACCAAAGTCGGAATGGACAACAATGGATATGAAGATATCATGGGATGACTGACTGGGAGAAAAGGATGAGAACGGCAAGCTACATGGGTCTCATCGGATCACACCACGGAGAACCAGATCGATCATATTTGCATCAGAAAAAATTTCACAAAGTCAATGTAAGATGTGAAAACCAGGAGAGGAGCTAGTATAGCTTCAGGTCACCACTAGCTAGTGGTTGCCAAGATAAAGCTGAAGCTTAAGAAGCACTGGACAAATGGATAAGCAGCATTAGAAAGGCTCAATACAGCATTCTTTCGAGATACTAATAAACCCAACGAATTCGACGTAACTCTCAACAGCAATGATCGGTCAATGACAGAGTAGGCAAACCGATCACTGAGGTTCAAGAACAGAGAAACAGATGGATGGAATACTTCGAAGAACTCTTGAATAGACCAGCTCCATTGGATTCACCGGATATCGAAGCATCACCTACAGACCTTCCTATAGATGCCACTCCACCAATGATCGAAAAAATCTGGATGGTCGGAAATTAGGCAAATCAAGGGTGAGAAGTAATCGGACCTGACAGCATAGCATCTAAAGCACTGAAATCAGACATATAAGTAACAGCAACATGCTTCACACTCTATTCATGAAGATCTGAGAGAAAGAACAAGTGCCGATGAACTGGAAAGAAGGCCATCTCATCAAGATACCAAAGAAAGGAGATCTGAGCAAATGTGAGAACTACAGAGGCATCACGCTACTGTCAGTGCCAGGAAAGGTTTTCAATATAGTGTTGCTGAACCGATGAAAGATTCAGTAGACACCCAACTTCAAGGTCAACAGGCTGGATTTCGTAAGGGTCGATCGTTGAACAATCAATTTACTGGAACTTACCACCATACATCAACTTCTTTGACTGTTAGAAAGCATTTCACAGCATGAATAGGAGAAGCTTATGGAACCTTTTTCGACACCATGGAGTACTGAAAAAATCATCCGTAATTCATACGACGGACTACACTGCAAAGTGGTGCATGGAGAACAGCTGATAGATGCATTAGATATTTTTACTGTCTTTAAACCTTTCAGTGTTTTGTGTTGATTGACTTATTTGTAAGTCACATTGTGTATAGTGAGTATTAAGATAGAATGTAATTAAATACAGAAATTACTGCATCAGTCCAAAAACGTGTATTTTTTGTTTTATATCGGTTCAGTTAATGTACACTTCGCCAAATGGATGACAATTATTCACATTCTTTGAATCGTAAACGTTACGTCTTGAATAATGAAAAAAAAATTTTACCCTCGGGAAAAATATTTGCTTTTCTCTTCTGTTGTTTGTAAATCATGATAAAAGTCTACCATACTGATGACCATAAGCAACTTATCAACCTGTTAGAAAATTGTTTAGTTATATAATGTCTTACAATAAGAAGTAGTAGGTTTTAAAGTATAAACAGTCTTCACATGAACAATAATGATAGAAAAGGGGTCAAGGTTAAGTATTATAAGTTGAGTCAAAGTTATGAGCTAGGGTTAAGTGAGTTTCTGTTAGAAATTAAGATTATAAAGTTTAGAGTGAGAAAATGCTTTTCATTCACATAAATACCCTTGACTATACATTGCATCACATCAAGTACTCTAAGATATAATTCTCCTGGTGATCGACTGGATCATGAAGACGTCAACATCTGAAGGGAAACGCGGGATACAGTGGACATCTAGGATGCAGCTGGACGATCTAGATTTCGCAGATGATCTGGCCCTTCTATCGCAATCGCAACAACAAATGCAGGAGATAACGACCAGTGTAGCAGCAGCCTCAGCAGCAGTAGGTCTCAATATGCACAAAGCGAAAAGCAAGATTCTCCGATACAACATAGCATGCACCAATCCAGTCACAATTGACGGAGACTATTTGGAAGATGTAAAAACCTTTACGTATTTGGGTAGCATCATTGATGAACAGGGTTGATCTGATGCAGATGTGAAGGCGCGAATCGGTAAAGCAAGAGCAGCATATTTACAACTGAGGAACATCTGGAACTCAAAGCAACTCTCAACCAACACCAAGGTCAGGATTTTCAATACAAATGTCAAGACAGTTCTACTGTATGGGGCGGAAACCTGGAGAACTACGAAAGCCATCATCCAGAAGATACGGGTGTTTATTAACAGTTGTCTACGCAAAATACTTCAGATCCGTTGACTGGACACTATTAGCAACAACCAACTGTGGGAGAGAACAAATCAGATCCAGTGGAGGAAGAAACCAAGAAGAAGTGGATAGGACACACATTGAGGAAAGCACCCAACTGCGTGTGTCACAAGACAAGCCCTCACATTGAATCCTCAAGGCCAAAGGAGAAGAGGAAGACCAAAGAACACATTACGCCGAGAAATGGAGATAGACATGAAAAAATGAACAAGAATTGGATGGAACTAGAAAAGAAGGCCCAGGACAGAGTAGGTTGGAGAATGCTGGTCAGTGGCCTATGCTCCATTAGGAGTAACAGGCGTAAGTAAGTAAGAAGGAGGTATTTCTTTAGTTTCTTAGTTTCTAATAAGATACAGAATATGCCCCCCCACATCTTAAATTTCGCTCTGAAACTCAGAAGGCGCTATCTTAAATCTGACTTGTTCATCACTATACTATATTTTTATCCGATCATGCTTGTTGTTGTTACTTATGTAACTATACATTCTGTATCTTGCCATCATTTTTATTTTATTTATATTAACAGATCTACTCCACTTACTTTACAAGCACAATGCTTGGATGATCTTCATGAATGGCTTCTTGTAATGGATGGAAAAGAGCCAGTAAGTTATTTAATTTTTTTTAAATATCTTATAAAAGTTCTAATGGAAAACGAATTTTCTGTGGAAATTGTATGTAATTAAATTTTAATATTTCTTGCACTCAGTGCTTCCTGTAAATTAAACAGTAGATAGTTTCAGGTTGTATTACTTAGCGGTACCGATCTCCGACCTATAATTCTGGCTGGTATAATGGGTTTGAAAATAGCTAACAGTTAGTAAAGGAACATATAAAATCACTCTGTGAGATCATCGAATCTTCACTGTTAGTTTTATCGAAAGGTGCAGACTTCATAGTTGACTCCTACACAATACTAATGATCGATATTTGAAGACATAAGGTTAATGTGTTAGAAATCGATTATTATGGTGCATTCATTTTTTTAAATCTTCCCTTAAATTTCACGTTCCAGTATTACTATATTTCCAAATTGTATTCTTTACATTCAGTAATTCTTGTGATCATTGTTACCGCTAATTGACTGCTATTATTTCGACCATACTGCTTTTCACTTTGTTGATTTTATTTCACCGTGTTGATGTAAAGTGCATTTACAAACATGGATCAGACTAACAGTGTACCACTTCCTAGACTGATTCTGTGTTTTGGTTTGACCACTCCTAGCTTTCTTCCAGCTGATTCCTACTTCAGCCAACACTACATGTTGACGAAGGCCATGGTTGGGCACACTTAACAGATTTCCTTACTACATCTGTCGATAAGCATTCATAATCCCATCAAATAATTTGCCATCTCTATCTATTGCCCTGCGCCTAACCACTGCAATGCTCGTTACACAATACATGAGCAATACTTCGAAGGTACCGTTAAGGTAAAACATTTATATTATCATTGATATTAGTAACCTGAAGGATGTAATACTTTATACACATCATTGATTTAATATTAAGGTTTCCACTCAAATTACCACTGCATATTTATCTGTCTTACGAGTTTTTAGGAAATATAATTTCGCAACACGAAGTTAGCTGACGTGTCTTCTGTGACTCTGTATATTTCACTTTCTGATGTTCTCTTAAGCATTCAAGTTTTTCTTCCCGTAGTTGTACAATTGCATTTTGAAACTAGTTTCGTCAGTCCTTTAATTTCTTTATGAATGATACTGTTTGTACTTCATTGAAAAATCACCTTTATGATGTCGTCAGTAAATCCTCTCGGTGTTCAAGTACTTTTTTATTTCTTTTGTTTTGTTCTAGATTTATGAAGATAGACGTGTGTGCCTCCATGAATCAGACAATAGTAAGTGTTTTTTTTCGAAGTGTACTTTGATTGGTTGTTGGTAATAACGATATTCAGCTAAATTTCTGATAGGACTGTATGTAACTCAGGTACATTCTCAAGACTAATTTGTAAGTAGTTTCCATCGTCAATATTAAAATCAGTTGATGTGCTAGTAATAAACGATGTTGCCCTAGACAACTTTTACGTACCAAGCTGAGACTCATAAACAGCGCGAATTCTTCACCATTTCAGTTGTTGTACCTAAGATCTGGTATCACGACTACTGATTTGGAGTCCAATTTTTCGTATTCCTAACTTTTATTAACTGAGGATGTAATTCAACGATCACCCAATTCTAAGTGACAATGTCTATAAAATTCTCGACACTATTGAGCTTTACTCGTCACGATTTCATGAGGATTTATAAAGAGTACAGAACATATCTTTATGAAGTTTGAATAAACTATTCTGATGCAGACTACTTGGTTGGGGTCCGCGTGACTTTCGTAACCAATGGTTGGAGACCCTTGGTGACATGGCTCAGAATCGATCACAATGGCGTCGGTGTATACACTCTCTGTCTTCTCTTAAACTAAGAGATTAAGATCACTTCACATCTTTCTTTCTACGAACTAATTCTTTCTTCCTATACTATATCCTTATTGCAATCTTTCTCCTATATATTACCACCTTTGACCTAACCACTCCTATGAATCCGGTGTTCATCTTGCTGTGCTAATGAGGTATGGCAACCTGGACCGATGCATACATGTGCCTGGTCCTACGTTGTAGCTGACTGACTGACTGATGCACATATATGTTTTATCACATTCCAAATGTTGAATGATGTTCTTTCTATTCTCACATGATTCCCCCCAATGCTGTATCACAGTATTTATTTATATATTTGCAAAATTCACATTTCATCTCTTCATTTCTTTGACTCGTTACTGAATTTTATCACTTTTTGGGATCAAGTCTCAGTGATTAACCATTCTAGTTTTCAATCATATTGTCTATGGTTCGAACCACATATCAAATACAACTGTATGAATAGATTGAAATCATAAGTCGATTGAAGCTAGACCATCATGGAAAACCTGGAAGCACTGGACGGCCGCTTCGTCCTAGCATGGGACTCCTGGGCAGTGCGCATCCACGATCCCGCACCCCGAGAGTGGAGTTCAACCAGGTCTGTTGTGAGATATCAGCTGACTGAAGACAATAGTATACGGTGGCACAACTTCGTGGATTGGTTAAAGTTAGACATTAACACCGTTAGATGCCGACCAGCTCAGTGGTCTAGTTGATTAAGCGCCTGGTGCGAGACCGATAGGTCCTGGGTTCGAATCTCGCGGGGTGCGGGATCGTGGATGCGCACTGCTGAGGAGTCCCATACTAGGACGAAACGGCCGTCCAGTGCTCCCAGGTTTTCCATGATGGTCTAGCTTCAATTTACTCATGATTTCAATCTGAAATTTCTAAAATCTCCAAAAACCCATTCTGATAACTATATGAATAATCGATTAGTATTAGTTATTTAATGGTCGAGTCAATCACTGTACTGTACTATCTATTCATACATTTATGTGTATAATCGTCAATAAGTTAACTGACTTAATGAAATTCGTAGTTAACATTTGCATAAAGTTTTTAACAAATTAGTTCTGTTTATTCACTAGTTTCTTTTTTCGGGTATGTTCCATAATGTAGAAATTTTGTTGTAGTTTAACGTCTAAACATTCAATTTCACAGTAAAACAGATTTTTATCGTGTTTCGTTTAGCTACTATAGATATGCATTATGTGTAGATGTGTTAGTTGATTCATGTTTTGTATTTAAATGATGTGCTATGTTGGAATGAAAATCATGTGCTCAATAGTGATTAGCTTTGAGAGGTAAGTCTCGGAGTTTTTTAATAGGATTTTGTGACTAGCGCAGCTCAACTGTGTCGAGTGTGAGACAATAGAAAATGGTCGTGCAATATTGTGGATTTATTGAAGTTAGACATCAACGCTGTTGAATGCTTGCTCAGTGGTCTGGGTGTTAAGCGTTCACGTGAGACTAATGTTCCTAGGTTCGAGTCCCGCTTGCGGGGTCATGGACGCGCAATACTGAGAAGTCCCATATTAAGGCGAAATGGCCGTCCAGTACTTCCAGGTTCTCAATGGTGGTCTAATATTAATGGGTTCATGATCTCAATTAAAAAAATTTATTTGTTCCCTTGTGTTTCAACTTAACTCATTAACTTATTCGTACTCAAATGAAATTTTATCGTGAATCAATCAAGGTTGGAGTCTGTCGTCTGGTAGTTAGAGATCAATTGTTTTAATAAGTGAATCACAATTTCATTATGAATGTGACCGATTCAGTCTGATCAATGATATGTTCTTCAACTCTTATGTTTGCTAACTGGTTATCAGAAAACGAGACGACTACTCGGCTTTTTCAAAGAACTTGTATTCAGATATTAATTGAGACTTATTTATGATTGCGGCGTGTGATTTGCCATCGTTGACTTGAAGAACTGAATTGGTCATTCTACCCTTAAAACTAGTCAAAAGTTATATTTGAGGTTTAGATTTGGAAAGGTTCTGTTTACATTTATTGACTTGGACCTGTGAGTCAGCTTTTGATTGTCGAAGAGCTCAAATTGGTCAGTAGATCAAATATAGGTTGCTAACGGAGACTAAACGCTTTTGTCTCTTATTAATGATTGGTGTATACCTGTAAAATATCAATCCCCAATGCCGCTGTATTTTGTTGACATTGGTCATTTGAAGCCTTGATTGGTGCCGATCAGGGAAGCCTAATATGAATATCTGTTTGAGTAATTACACCAAACATAAAATGCGTAGGTCAGTGATGTTCTGCCATTTGTCTATTTGTCGTTAACAAATTGTAGTCTATGTTTGATGTATCGCCTTGGGACGAGTAGGCGAATCGAAAGTTGAGCGGTGAAATTCAATCAGCAATAAAGATACATGAGTGATTATTTTCAAGCGATCATTCATTGTGAATTTCTTAGTCTTGTAGGAGTCAAGTGTGGCGCTAGTTAGTGAATAGTAACATCTCAAATTCGTGATGATACAGATTTCCATAGGTTCCAATCCAGCATTAGACAGCATTTCCTTCAAGATTGCTGATGTGCTTGGCTTATGCTACATAACTAGCATAAAACCTATCTCAGTAGTACGTCATTTTTGTATTGGTTGCTTGAAACTTCCCATTGATTTTTGGGAATATAATTGATTAGTCTCTTATTGGCATATGTGCATCTTGTGCGGATCGCCTCGATATTGCTTTCAATTACATCAACTCTGGGATGCAGGTACATCCAGCTCATGAGTCTTGTTTGGGACGAAACACGAGTCCTGAATTTCACTACTAGCCACTATCATCCTAGGTCAATGGTATTCTACTGATTATCTCTCACCATCAAGTCTTGTCTTAGACATATTGCTCAGTAACTCACTTTTTCATTTTGTGTAAGTTCTTTATTATTTTGGTTTTTTTTTCGCCTTTCCTTTCCCAGTTCAATTAAACGACAAAAGTTATGAATTTCTACTCAATTTAATTCATGCAATTGAAAAAAATGGTAAGCAGTTATTTTTCTTCCATATTCGTTTAAATCTACTATTGTTTATTGAAAAGTGTGTGTTGAACAACTTCCGAATTAAGTTCACATATATTTATATTGTTTTAGTGAATACATTCACTAGTGACTGGCTTCAAGAGGTATTTCATGGAGTTCTAGTGAGAAGCAGTGACCAGTGGAGTTCAGACGAGTCTGTTGTGAGATAATAACTCACTGAAGACAATGGTGAACGGTGGCTCAATTCCGTGGATTAGTTGAAATCAAACCAGCTCAGTGGTCTAGAGGTCAAGCGCTCGTGCGCGAGACGTATAGGTTCTGGGTTCGAATCTCGTGAGGCGGGATCGTGGATGCGCACTACTGACGAGTCCCATACTAAGACGTAACGGTCGTCCAGTGCTTCCAGGTTTTCTATAGTGGTCTAGCTTCAATCGACTCATGATCTCAACCATTGAAATTTTTAATGAATAGTTTACTTGATTCTTATCGGTTGTTTGAAAAGACAGTATCTTGTTTTGTCTTAATTATAATGACCTTACATTGACTATTCAATGTATATTGTACACTGACATTATTATAATTGTCTAGGGCATGAAAATGTTGATTAGCATTCTGTTCATGCATCAGGTTACTCAATATCAAGAATACCTGGTTAATTAGTCGGTCATATGTGACATGTGATCTTTATCTGAATTATAGATAGTTTGATATTGAAATAAATATCAAAAAATGTCGGTATTTACGTGTAAGATAGTCAATATTGTTGAAGTATGACCACGGTTACATTTTGAAAAATACCAGAAAATATACAATAGTCTCTAGGGTTTAATTTTAATCTCATTATCGATTTTGTATTGAAATAAACAAAGTATTTGTAATGTTTCTTAGGAGACTGATTCTTGCACTTATAATGTTTGATAGTTTAAGGGATATCCAAATGGTGGAGAAGATTTGTAGCTCAGATGAATGATTTTGGTGGAGTTTTATTCTCTGAGCTAGATGGTTTGATCGTGTATTCATCAAAAAGGATATCCAAATATAATATGTCGAATCATTTAGAAATGCATCACCTATCCAAAGCATGTGTGAATTGAATTACTAAAGTTTTTATTTGAGAATGTAGCTAAAAAGTAATAATCGATGACTCGACATATTTAATTGAGCCAACTTTAGTCACCTGTCCTTCAATCACTGAATAATCGGAAGAAGTTGCATTACTTTTAGTTTCTTTTTCTATGAAATATACAAAGTGAAGTTGTAAATCGTTCATTTTACTAAAAGTTAAAAGTACGACCGCTCACTAATAAGGAAGAAATATTTGTTCAGTTATTGTTGGTTTTCAAAGGTTGCCTAACTACGATCAGTCTGTTTGTATCAATGAAAGTTTAGAGTAATTGACTTAACACTTTAGATCATCCTTTCAACTCATTATACTTTAACATCCCTCGTTGCGGTGTTTCTTTAAAGTGATGGTTTTAAGTTTCAAACATCTAACTTTCTGTTATTCAGTAGCATATTTGAACACCACTCCTCAGCTGTCTTGATCAAAGTAGTCGAGTAGCATGTTTAAATTTAGATCATAAACCGATCGATGTTAGACGGTCATTGCAAACCTGGAAACATTGCACAGCAGTTCCGTCCTAGTATCGGACTCCTCAGCAGTATGCACCCACGATCCCGTGCACAAGACTCGAACCTAGGACCGTCGTTCTCACGTGCGAACGCTTAACTTCTGGTAACTTTAAACCTCTCTCTTTCCTACATACTCAAAAAACTGTATAAATCATTGTTGGGTGCATAAATCTATAGTAAATACACAATACTTCTAGACCGTCGTTCAAAATTTATGGTGATTTGTATGTAAATCACAAGATCCGATTCTAAACGTTCTAGAAAAACTATCTCTTAACTTATGCGTGACTTGTTTTCGTTAACTTTGTGGACAAATTTTATTGTATTCTCAGTTTATCTTTTTTTGTTTCAGGTATTCAAGTTGAAGGAATCTATAGAACATGTGGGGTGAAATCTAAAGTTGCCAGTCTGATTAAACAAGCTCTATGTAAGTTTTAAAATCTGTTGTCATAATCGACTTTTCAATCATTAGCACAAATGTATATCAGTCCAATTTATCACACTTCACATTAGCATTATGAGGAAGTAGCAAGTTCAATTATATAAGAGGCTGTAAGAAAATACCATAAGTAGCTTCGTAGTCTTTGTCGTATGATGTCTCAAATTGACTTTTCTTGAAATTGTGGAACATTTATATTTGAACTCGGTAGTCTGAAAATGCCGCGTAGTACGAAATCAAACTGTAATGTATCCAACCCTTGCCAGGGTCGATGCTTCGGACTTTTTCAAGCGACCTACACTATGACAAGAAACTTACTGTTCAACTGTTCCTAATCTTTGAATAGTTCTTCAAATCTTATCAAATCAAAATCAAAACCTTGTTTTAATTTATGTGATAGTGGAAAATAGACATGTGAAATATATTTTTACAATTGAATTCACAAGTCGATCTAAGTTAGACCACCATTGAAAGCCTGGAAGCATTAGACGGCCGTTTCATCCTCGTATGGGACTCCTGAGCAGCGTGTATCAACGATCCCGCATGTAAAACTCGAAATAAATTGTAGTTAAAAATGCACGAATTATATAACAATAATTATAATGTTTATGATTATGCTGAGCTTGTAATTTAAAGGTTGATAAAAAGTGAATACATCTACGTCACTGACTTCAAGTTTGCATTCTATTATGAGACATCTACTGTAGATTACGATTATCTTGAACGGAATTTAACTACAATTGTAATGAAAAAGTGAATGCAGTTTTTGATATTGTGAAGTGGATCTAATAGTTTAATACTGTTTGAGTATAGCATGATGTATCTTCAAAAGAGACAATTTTACTGGTCATGTAATCGAGTCGTTTATTATGAAAACAGTTGTCGTATCTAATTCGCTTATTGATTTTGTTGTTGATTTTATTGTCTGTATCGCCGATGTCTTTCTGTTTTACCAATGATACTGGTCAGTGAATAATAACCCAAGACCTTAGCGTTTATTAATCTTCGAGCTCTTCCTCCCAACCTCATTACACAATCAGAAAACTAAGTTATACATGGCTCAGAATTTATACAATAATATATCTCAAATATCTGATTTCTCAGCAACACAAATAGGAAACTACAATACATAAACAACTCAGTCATAAGTAACTCAAAAATGTCACAACAATGAAAAATTAATTACTGATAAGTCTGAAATAATACGTTAGATAACATCGGTTTATGAATCAAATGCAATGGTAATTACTTTGTGCTCACTAGGGAATAGCTTCATGAGGGAATTCTCGGAGTTCTAGTGAGAAACCATGACCAGTGGAGCTAATCCATGTCAGGTAGAGACAGGTATCTACGTCACTGCAATGGGAGATGTTCTTACAATTTCTTGGATTTGTTGAGGTTAGACATTAACATCGTTGGATGCCTTCTCAGTGGCCCAGATGTTAAGTGTTCGCGCGCGATACCGAAGTTCCTGAGTCCGAATCCCGCGAGCAGAATCGTGGATGGGCACTGCTGAGTAGTCTCACAATAGGGCGAAACGGCCGTCCAGTGCTTCCAGCTTTTCAATGGTGTTCTAACATCAATCGATTCACGATCTCAATCCAAAATTTAATAATCTCTGCACAACCCTATACTGAAAGCTTTTAAATAGGTGCATATAAAAATCCAGTAATTCAGGCGTTAAATAATTTTTCAATAAAAATACAAATAATAATTTCCTTTAGGATAGTTAATATAAGTTCAACCTTACTCTGATCCTGTTCCACATGACAAATGTATGTTCAGATACTAACTTACTTACTTACGCCTGTTACCCCAATGGAGCGTAGACCGGCGACCAGCACTCTCCAACCCACTATGTCCTAGGCCTTCCTTTCTATTTCTATCCAATTGTTGTTCATTCTTCTCATGTCTGTCTTCATTTCTCGGCGTATTGTGTCCTTTGGTCTTCCGCCTCTCCTTTGTCCTTGAGGATTCCAAGTGGGGGCTTGCCTTGTGATGCAGTTGTCTACTTTCCTTAATGTCTGTCCTATCCACTTCCAGCGCTTCGCCTGGAGCCCCTCTGAGCCTACTGCCGGTTCCAAGCCCAGATAAAGAAGGGGAGTTGGGCATGGGGTTAGCGACCTCATCCCGTTGAAAACTAACTCGCTAAAAAACACTAATCAGCAAAAATAATTCAAACCATTTAAACTCTGCCCTATGAGTTAGAACGTTTTCATTGACAAGAGTTATGATGCCCCATAGTGAAAGCCCAGTTCCTTTGGAAGTCACGAGGCTGACGCCTCTTCTAACAGCTAGAGTGACCATTAATTTGGGTATATGGAGTGGTTGTACAATGTGGGAGGCCGAAAGAGTCTTCCAAAATGCTGCAGAACTAGGATATTAACTACCTTACTTTTTCTAATCTCTGCTAATTTTGACTGATCGTGTTATTTGTTTGAATTCATTGTGAACGTAGTCAGTCTCTGTGCGTGTGTGTGTCTTCTGTCCGTTTTTATGAGAAAGCCTACGTGATTCATATTCATGAGAATTTCTTTAGTCACATGGTACACAACAATATTCTTCACATGTTATAATTACTCGTCATAGAAACTATCCAATTCTATCAGCCTAAAATGTCGGCTTAAGTTTTTCATGAACCATATGTGGGCTATAAAATGATTAGTCTAATATTTATAAACTGATTAATCTAAGAATGTCGATTGATTAAGTTAACTTTAAATCTATTAATCAGATTAGTCAAATCCCATTAGCCACCTTAAACATTGATATGTAAACATGTATTAATTTGGTTACATTACAAATGTACTTGATAGGTGTCAATCAGTATTTAATACTAAAAGAAAACAATACTTGATTTTGATGAAGTTTTGTTCTCTGAGCTGGATGGTTTGGTCGTGGAGCTGTCATCGTTCTTCTGAACGACATCATCAGCACAAACTTCAAATAGAAATGAAGTGTTCGAATTTCTCCATATGCGTTTCACAGGTCATTCTGTACGCCTCGATGTTGATTGGTTCTTATTGACCTTAAATTTGTACTTGATTACTACTATCCAGATACCGATTATAATGTAAACATTTGAGTCCTACTGAAAAGATTAGTTAATATCTCTTTGATCACAGCACACTTGGTGACGTCATAGTATAATCTCTGTGACTATATCATTCTGTTGAGTTTTGTAGATTATTTCCAACTAATACATAGTCTCATCTCAGAGCTTCTTTACATATTGTTTCATATTGATAGAGATAGCTAATGCAAATAGAAGGCAGATGAAAAGCGGATTATTCAATCGTCTAATAGTTTACTATTTACCTTACTGATATATGAAGGATTAGTATGTAGTTAGTTCATTACTTCTTCAGTTATATTAGATACAGTCAATACATTAATATATTTGTAATATCCCAATGAGTAGAAAAATTAAATTGTATGACGTTTCGTAACTTAATGTAAGCCACTTCTTCAGAGTAAATAAATAACCAAATCAAAATTAATCCAAGTTCAAATAGTACAACGGAACAACACAAGAATATAATGTGCGATCAATCAACAACAAAAAACAGGTCTGAACGAATCAATGTTATGTCATTTCGGTCAAGGTAATTCATAAGTGACATGTATGTAAATTTTTGTGTGTATGTGACAAAACTATAATAATCATAAAAGCTGACAAAGGCAACACAACAGTATTCATGAATAAAATAGACTATATTAATAAAGCTCTTGAACATCTCTCTCTACAGGACCATATGAAAAGATCGATCTGAAAATATTTTCTAACGATTAAAAATCAAAGTAGGGACAAGTCGACTTTTGAAAGAACTAAAACGAGTCATTGGTATCTCGTTATGGTTTCCTCTATGTCCAATTTCACGTTTTTATGGTTTACCTAGAATTCATAAAGCAGACATCCCTTTTAAGACCTATAGTAGACTTCACGAACACACCAACATATGCATTATCGAAGTATCTGAGCGGCATATTAAAGCCACTACAACTTAAGTTACATAATATAATTAAAGATTCCTGTGACTTGAAATCAAAAATGTCGGAATTAATTATCGAAAAGAATGAAGTCATGGCAAGTTATGCTGTTAATATACACTAGTATTCCTATTGATAAATGCTTAGAATTCATTGGTGCTTTACTAGAGAACGATAATACTCTTCCTGACAGATATCCTTTAAGCATTAGTCTAATCATGAAATCCTTACATATTAAACTATCCTTTCTCATCATAAAGGTCACACATTTTTCATCCTTAACAGTGCACACATACACGCACACAAATTTACATTCATATCGCTTATGAATCACCTCAACCGAAATGCATGACACTGATTCGTTCGAACCTGTTTTTTGATTGATCACATAATGTTCTTGTGTTGTTCCGTTGTACTATTTAAATTTGGATTAATTTTAATTTGGCTATTTATTCTCTGAAGAAGTGCCTTACACTAAGTCACAAAACGTCATAAAATTTAATTTTTCTACTCATTGGGTTATTACAAGTATACTAATTTATTCATAGCGATCTACCCAACGCTCAATTTATTCGAAATTATCAAGTCAAACCTTGGTAATGATAGCTAGATACAGTCAAATTTAATTTTATGAATAATCATTCGATATGCAAATGTATCTAGACTCCGACCGTTGTTGCTACTTTGATGTGGTAGTCGGACTTGCCTATTATGACCAACCAATCGAACTATACTAACTGGAACAATCATTCCTCAAGGTTCTACCATGCCAGACAAGTCGGTTGAAGAATGGTAGAACTAAAAACAGCAAAACCAAGGTACGAGGGCGAAGTCGTACTGCTGACTGTACAGAGGTGTAACGGCAGTAAGATGTTTCCCCCAGACAACCAGCATAACAGCGATGTTGTCTTCTCACAAAAAAGGGTGGTTTAGAAAAAGTCTATCTCAAAAAAGCACACCTCACCTTATCCCACGGATATCTGTCTCTGGCGGTAAGGTCTCAAGAAGTACGGAGCTAACACGGAAATTACTCACAAGAAGGTCGTGTGTGACCGACCTTAAGGAGTTGTCCATTGGGCACTGTGGTCACGCTTTCAGGTCACCAAGACCACCCCTAGGCCGACTTCCTTTTCAGGTACCTCCAGAAGAACCCTTCCACGGTGTGGGCAACCGGGAAGTGAAAATCGCCCTCATTCCTCCAACAGCACTCTAGACTGTATCTAGACCACTGATCCATGTATACATTTTATTATTGTTTTTTTTATGCATAATTCTCAAGCTCCATCAGGAATATCCAAGACGACTTTGTCAAATTATGAATTATGCGTTTTAACTGGTGCATTAAAAAGTTTTATTCGACAATTAGAAACTCCAATTATGACATTTCAATTACATGATTCTTTCATGTCTGCAATGAGTAAGTTGTTAATATATATTTGTATATATATAAGTCGTTTGAAAACGATCTCTGTTTTAGTGACGGGCAAACTGCTAATTTTTTTGTGGTGCCGTGATCTGACTCCGATTTGGACGAACGTATGAATATATTATGAACATAAATCTTCCATTTAACTCCGTATACTGCCTAGGCTAAACCCGTTTGTGTGACGGCGGTACCAAGAAGCTAGACATTCAGAATAAGGGGTAGAAAAGCGAAGATGAGCCGAGAGGACGAGTAAGCCCATTCTAGTTGATTAGGTATGACTTGGTATTTATAATTAGACAGATGAGTAGGATGTGCAGTGCACATGCATACGCTCATATAAAAACAGTAAAGGTTACTAAACCAATAATTAACAAGGTCAAAATGTGACTTGAAAAGAGGGAGTAAATCGGTTGGTACGGGAGCTAGAATAACCCTTGTGGGCTTGACACTACAATGTATTTCATGGAAAAAAAATCATATCTAAACATTCTGGCGGAGTTTTGTTCTCTAAGCTGGATGATTTGGTCGTGGAGCTTTCATCGTTCTCCTGAACGACATCATCAGCACAAACTTCAGGCAGAATTGATGTGTTCGAATTTCTCCACATATGACTCTCACCTTGTCCTGTAGACCTCGATCTTGATTGATTATTGCTGACCTTTAACCTATCATTGTGTACTTCCTTTTTTTGATTGTATCTCCCACTATTGATTTGTCTCTTGGTCTTATAGTTGACCATAATTTTCTGATTGGTCGATCATTGGAAGATACAATCAAAATAAAGTAAACAATGACAGGTTAAAAGTCAACAGTAATCAGTCAAGATCGAGGTCTACAGGAAAGGCTGAGAGTCATATGTGGAGAAATTCGAACACTTCAATTCGACCTGAAGTTTGTGCTGACGATGTCGTTTAGAATAACGATGAAGGCTCCATGACCAAATCATCCACCTGAGCTACAAAACTTCTCCATCACAGTAAACATTCAGCAACTATATTCTTGTTCTATTATAGTATTTTAATATTGGGTCTCGTTTGAATTGTTGTAGTGTGATAGGTTTTAGTGAAATTTCGATAATTCTATGACAAGACGAAGTTTATCAGAATTATGTGGTATATTTGAGCAATACATTTCAAACGATCTGATCACACATATACTTGTTAAGACATTAAAAGGTTAACTAGACATGTTAAAGGTAAGTCGTAACAAAGAAAATGAATAATAAGGTACACAAAAACAAAGTGATAACCACTCTGGATAATAAATCAGTATTACCAGGGTAGGTTAAGGGTAAGGATAAATTATTTTTGAACGCATGAAGGGGATTTCAGTTTCCGTATCTTCAAGGCTTCAATAAACCTTAGTATAAGTCCTTAAAGGTTTTTGTATAACACCACAAATGCTGACTTGATGTCAACCTTATGACCAGTCTCAATCAAATGTTTCGCAATTGAGAATGATGTCAGTCTATCCCGTGATGTTGTTTGACCATCGGAATTCATTTGCTTCTGCAGCCATTTTGATATGTGTTCACCCACCCTTAATTGCAAATCATGATTGCACCTCCCTATGTACATGTTTCCATACATACATGTAAATTGATAGACACAATGAGATGTGACACAATCGTTTACGTGTTGTTTGAGCTTTTGGTGAAACATAAACCTTGTCTTCTCAATAGTGAAATTGGAAAAATCTGTACACATCACAATCAAGACTGAGTTCACCTGTAGTGTTACATATTGTTGAACGGAATTTTTCTTTTCACCTGATTTAACTAAAATTTTAATTCAAATGATGGTGTTATTTAGTTTGTTTTATTGTACTTGAATTAATTTGACTAAAAAAGAAATGCTACACCATTTCTCATTTTGGTCTCTAACATTTTAGTTACTTGTTCAATGTACCATTAATTTATCTGTAAAAATTAAACAAGATATAGATATTACGATGATTGAGATCATGAGTCACTTAAAGCTTGATCACCATGGAAAACCTGGAAGCACTAAACGGTGCGCGAGGCTGATAGGTCCTGTGTTCGAATCTCGCGAGTGGGCAGGATCGTGGATGCGCACTGCTGAGGAGGAGTCCAACAATAGGACGAAACGGCTGTGCAGTGCTTCCAAGTTTTCCATGATGGTCTAGCTTCAGTGAACTCATGATCTCAACCATTGGAATTACTACAATATCCACAAACCCTCTTCTGATCAGATATAGATATGGTTTACTATGAATTTAACATTTCTCAAAATAATGATAGTAATAATTAGATATTAGAAAGAAGATGATTGAACAACTGTTCAATACATAAATGTAATTGATCTCAGCTATGGCTTTGTTCTGCTCTAATTTGAGGAACTTGAATACACAAACGTATATTTGTTTACTGAGTTAAGAGTATATGGTTTAAAAATTTGTTCATATATATATGTATACTACTTATGATTAAGTTTGTTCCAGTAACCTGTAGGAAAGTTATACGCTTACACCTCGACAATCATATTCCTGTTAATGTATATAATAGTTAATAACAAGTTCGCAATATGTATTCAATGGTGTTTTGGACTAATATTAGTTAAAACGTCCAACTTTCAACCTATAAGTTACAGTTTTGAACTCTTCCTCTGATTTTCCTGCCTTGATTATATCATATCACTAACATTGACATCATTGAAGTCTCAGTCAGTCAGTCAGTCAGTAACAACGTGGAACTACGTACGTACGTACATCAGTTCGAGTTGCCACACCACATTAGCATAGAGATGCAGTGGTCGATTCAAATCCCGTAGTAGTAGATGTAATAAGAGTATAAGCAGTAGTCGGGAAGATTAGTGTTTGGAGATGTTACTTAAAGAGTATAATACAGTGAAATAAATTGAGAGGAGAAAAAAAGAGACAAGGCGGAATAAGGAGATCAAAATTTGGGAGAACACAAAGAGTGGATGCTCTTGCGCCATTGCAAACGATTTTGAGCCATGTCATTCATGGTCTCTAACAATCGGGTGCTATCATCTCGCGGTCCCCAACCAGGTAGTCTACACCTACCAACATGACTCAGTTCACTTGTCAGTGACTTCATGGACTTGTGCCATGTTTTGGTCTGGCCGCCCCTAGCTTTCTTCCAATCTACTCCTATACCATTGAACATCGCACGTCGGGGCAGTCGGTGGTTGGGTTGGGCATACGTAACACGTGTCCTAGCCATCTCAACTGATGAAGTCTCACTACTTCATCAATTGATTTGCCATCCTTACCTAGTACCCGTTTCCTAACAACTGCATTACTTACTCGATGGTCCCACGATATACGAGCAATATTTCGAAGACACCTATGATCAAATACTAGTAACCTACGGATATCCTCTACTCTTACCGGCCATGTTTCACTGCCATAAAGTAGGACGGAACGAACTGCTGCGCAGTAAATCCGTCCTTTGGTTGATAGACGGATATCTCGCCTACGCCATAAATGACGCAAGTTGAAGTCCAGCTGAAATTTAAAGTGTATACAATTTACATCGAGTATTCATTGCCTATTCAAGTAATTAATGAATTTGTGTATTGTGTTTATTTATTGAATTGTTCTACTTGTTGTTACTGATTGTTTTCTCAATTTTAGAACGAGATAATGCTTATCGATTAACAGAGCTTAGTGCATTATTAAAATTGTTACCACCAGAAAATCAACGTACTTTAGACTTACTGATTAGGCATTTATCAAGGTTTGTTAATTGTTATATCTCCTTTGTTGTTTTTCTTTTATAGGTATTATTACTATAGTTTAAATTCACTTGGTAGTGTTTTACTTGAATCTTTCCATGGATGTTTAGGACTGCAATTGATCAGTCTCTTATTGGCATATGTGCATATTGTGCGTATTACTTCGATAGTGCCTTAATTCACAAGCTTCATAAGTAAAGATGGATATTGGCTGGCAGTGGAATCCAGGACGCGCATTTCGTCCTATTTGGAACTTGTCATCTGGATGTATCTGCATCTCAGATTTGATATTTACTCCGGGACTCGAACCCAGTACTGTTCGCTTCAAACGCCATCACGTTATCACTGCTAGCCACTATCCAACTTTTTTTTATAATGGTCAAAGTAAATCTGTGTGAGACATTCCTGTGTGGGTATAAAATGTGAAAATAATTTGTCGTCAGTCATCCACAATGCAGGACCGGACATATATGCATCGGTCGTAGTTGCCACACCTCATTAGCATAACAAGATGAACACTGAATTCATAGAAGTGGTTACTTCAATGGTGGTAATGTATAAAAGAAAGATTATGTATGAGGATATGATACAAGGAGAAAGAGTTAATTCATAGAAATAAAGGTAAACATTAATTTTAATATGACGGTTTAAGGGAAGACAGAGAGTATATATATTTACGCCATTCTGATCGATTCTGACCCATTTCATCCAGTCTCCAACCATTGGTTACTATAGTCGCACGGACCACAACCAATTAGTCTGCATCCACTAATATGGCTAAGACTAGAAGTTAGTGACTTCAAGCAGTTCGGCCACTCCTAACTTTATTCCAACCATGCCCAACACTATTCAGCATTGCGCGTCGTGGTAATCGATGTACAGGCATACGTAACACGTGGCCCAACCATCTCAGTCGACGGAGATTTACAACCTCATCAACTGATTCCTGTCACTCCCTAATATCCTGCGTTTAACCTCACTATTACTTACCCGATGACCCCAGAAGATGCTGAGATTCGTGTGCAGACTCTTTTGAGTCAACTGTGGTTGTTTGGATAAACAATCCATGTTGGATGAATAGTCAGGCCTTATTTTCATTTGAAGAAGAGGGATGTTCCAGCTATTCGCCTTTCTTTATAGTTGACTAAACCTTTTTAAATCATTTTATTACTTTATATCGATTTGATGGTTATCGAACATACCATTAATCGCTATTGCGGATTTGATTTGTAGATTCTTTAATTCTACAGGAATATTTTGTGGTTGCTTAAGTGTTCCTTGGTATTAGTCGTCGAAAAAACTATTACATAATGTATTGAAATCAATACAACCTAATCTGTAAACTCAATGCCGAGTAGATGTAAATGGAATTTTTCCCTTGATTTCAAACTAGTACATTTCGAAGAGTGTTAGTTGTTCGGTAGTAAGGTTTAATTCCCCTGTCATACCTTGGCTGTGAGACAAAACTACTGTGTTATTTAAAGATAAATCGTAAGCTGCTTATTATATTATTTGTTTTCTTTGCTTATCTGTTTCTGACGTAGCTTTTCTGAACAGATTCAGATCCAGGAAACTTTTCTCTTAGAATAGATGTGCAGAATATAAATCGATATATCTATGTGAATGTGTTGGTTTTCTGTATATGGTTAAGTTATATTTTCATTAGGATTCCTTCTAACTAAATGATTCAAGTACGGTAATTCACTGTGTTCATATTCCTTTTCCACAGTGAATTTGATATCTGGATAAGTTTTTTTAATGGTAATAAATGTATCATTCACTTATCTGAGTCAATATGTGGTTTAGTGGTACTGGAGAAAATAAGTGACTCATCATGGGGCATAAATAAACTAACAACAGTCGAAGACACTCTGTTGAAGTGGTTTTCATCAAGTCACGAAATGTCAAAAATTCAAATTTCAACACACTGAGATGTTACAAATATATCATTATTCTATTATCAAACTGTTCCTTCGTTCCATTTATGAACTCACTGCCTTTTCGTGGTGGGGGTGTTGTTTACAAAAATGAGAGGACGAAAAGCGAGTGTCCAGCGCTTTAACCGAATCCCGAACCAAATCATTGGTGCACATGGGCTCCAGTATCCTGCGGGACCAAATGGCGTATGAACCAATCGTTGGTCACCGGCTACCATGGGACTGTATCTCCTTACGATGCTCCACTGCCTTGTGGATCAGACCTTCAGGTCGAACGCTCGGAGAGTGGGTACCTAAGAAAACCACCTGCTTCGATTTGGGCACCCGGGCAGTATCACAGCCCTCACACATATCGAGTGAGATTTGTGTAGCGCATATGTACTTGGTGCCTCCTCCATTTATGAATTCGTCTAAAATAATCTTTTCTGATTTTTTCCTGATGATGAACTATTCACTAAAATATGTGCAATATATAACTATCGCATTGACCACTGAGTAAGCAATGCATAGGTTAGATATAGGGTATTGGTGAAAAATGACAATGCGGTTGGTGAAGTTGTAAATCTTTATCGATTAGTTTTGTTAGGAAATGTGTTGCATATACCTAACCACCTCCTACCTCGATGAGGGATTCTTACTGATATTGAGTTAGATTGGAACGGAGCTAGATCCGGTTAAACCAAGGTATGGCATTACTGCACGAAGTCATTGATCATTGTCATGAGTCATGCTAATAAATGCATGCTATCTGGTTAGGGTCTGCACGATTATCTCACGAAATAATCTTAGACTTTTTGTAACATGGTTTAGAATCATACGCAATGGTGCAGGTGAATTTAATCTGTCATAGATCTTAATTTTTTTTAACTAGTCCTGAGATTCAGCGAGACACAAGTTACTAGGGGTAACAAAATTTATGTTCTTCTTATTCTTATGATTCTAGTGTTATCTATTCTTGTTGTCATACTAATCCTTTCTTATATGGCACGTTAACATAGAGTTCATCTCTACCAGTCAGTCATTTGATTCTATTTGTTGAAAGCCTTAAGTGAAATATTAGTAGGTACCACCCAAAAGTTACACGGAACTCATAACCTATTCAAATTTATGAGAACGTGCAAACCATGGCAAATCTTCACTGTATATATGCAGTTTTATTCTTGAAATATATTCGTATAAATTTAATACCTAATTTTCTTCTGTTTTTTGTTGTAAACACTTACAAATACACACAACTATTCTAATATATAGCGTTGCTGCCTACAGTCAATTGAATCACATGAATCCAAGTAATCTAGGCATTGTATTCGCACCATCATTGTTTCGTTCACGTGAAGAATCTGTCGCTGCGATTATGTCAACAAAATTCGCTTCAACCGCTGTCGAATTAATGATTATTAATTATTCAAGTTTATTTCCAATACATTCATCGAATATTCTTCGACCAATACCTCAGTTATCCTTACCATTATCTACTACCCCACTTGTTATGGATGATAGAAATGGAACTATAAGCGAAATTAACAATACCACACATAATTCTATCAGTGATATATTTGATAGTAATAATACTCCTACTAATATGAGAAAATATAACCATATTAAGAATGGTGAAAACTCTGTAGAACCAGTGTATACTACACCGGTTATTGGCTATCCTTTTCAATTAACCAGTAAGTTCAATATTAGAACAAATGGATATTTCTTTTTTTTTTACATCATTATTCAGTTTATCACTTTGTAACTGAGTTTACTTGACTGTTTAATATTACATTTTCGTTATTCTAAAATTCCCCTTTGTATGTATATGAACTTGGATTAAGCTTGAAACTAAGTAACCAGAACTAATCTCTGTACGATTGTTATCAAAGAACGAAATCATAACTGTGTAAACTAAAGTTACATTTTAGTTGATCATTGAAATATTGTTTATCGATTGAAAAACTTACCAGATAATATTTAGATATAAAACTTTCATAATAAATGGGATGGTGTAGAAGATTTGTAGTTCAGGTGGATGATTTTGATGGAGCTTTTTTTCTCTGAGCTAGATGGTTTGATCGTGGAGCAATGGAATGATAATTGTGGAACGATGAAAGTTCTACGACCAAACCATCCAACTCAGAGAAAAATACTTCATCAAAATAATAAATGGGCTAATGTAAACAAAGTACGTGATTGTGTATACAATCAATAATAAATTCGGTACTCGTTTCAGGTTGTCAGTAAAACAAGCTTTCAGTTGAATAACCTTAAAAATGAAACTTCTTATAACTTTTTTTTAAAAATCATGAATGATTATGGTTATTTTTGTTTGGAAGGCATTAGTTGACATGTATATACTCTGGCATTGTATACAGAATACTTATGGCATTCTTTATAAATCTTCTATTCATAGAGTTGTTATTAATGAGAGAAATGGTGATGTATACTATACATGTATATAGTCTGATGCTTCAAAATGTTGTGTTTTACAATAGTAATGTTGTAGCTGCTCCCAAATGCCCTGGTATGGCCGAGAGTCGTATGGGCTCGCCCTCCCTCTCGAATGCTCTCACACGGCCACGTGTATACAGCCTCTGCCAGGGAAGTCCTACTCACTGCCTTCTCGGGGCGAGGGTGTTGTTTACGAAATTGAGAGGTGAAAAGCGAATATCCGGCGCATTAACCGGATTCCAAACCAATGGTGCACATGGGCTCCAGTATCCTGCATGAACAAATGGCGTATGAAGCAATCGTTGGTCACTGGCTACCATGGGACTGCATCTCCTCACGATTCTCCACTGCCTTGTGGATCAGACCTTCAGGTCGAACGCTCGGGGAGTGGGTACCTAAGAAAACCACCTGCTTCGATTTGGGCACCCGGGCAGTATCACAGCCCTCACACAAATCGAATGATTTATGTGGCGCATATCTTTTTGAAGCCTCCTTTTACCAATATCTATGTGTTAAAATAAATAATAAATTTGATAAAAAGTTTATTTTGGCTTTTACATCTCATTTTTGTATTCAATATTAAGAGCGTATGTAAGCGGGTGGTGGTGTTTAACTGTCAATGTTTGAGGCTATACTGAATCTAAAGATCAGTCAGTCGCAAGGTAGAACCTGGTATGCATGTGCATTATTTTGACTCTGTTGCTATTCACCCTGTCGATTTTATCTCACCGTGCTGATGTTAAATACATCTACCAACATCATTCAGTCAGTCACAACGTAGAACTTGTATGTTTGTACACTGGTTTAAGTTTCCATACCTCAATAGCACAGAGAGATGAAGTTGTTAGGCTAAAACCCAGAATAATAGAGGTAGTAATAGAATAATTAGATTAGACATCAAATATACGATTTAAGAAAGTATAAATTACTGAAATATACCACGAAAAACGGTTATAAGGAGTTCAGAAGCTCAGAATTCAGAGAAGACAAAGAATGGATGCATCTGAGTCATTGCAAACGATTTTCAACCATGTCACCTAAAGTCTCTAATCACTGATTACGATAATAATGTGGACACCAACTATGTAGTCTATACCTATTAACATGGCTAAGTCCAATTCTCAATAACTTCATGGACTGTTGCCATTTTTGGTTTAACCGTTTCTAGCTTTGTTCCAATTTCCTCCTACATCAGAAGTGAAGCGGTCTATGCGTTCAACTACTTAATCTCCTATCGTTAATTCAAACCATGATGAAAATCAATCCTGAAGTGATATTTTACATTTAGAAGGAGAAAACTGCATCCCAAATATGTTTTCAGTGTTGTTTAAGGTGATCAGATTTTTTACTAAACACAACTATATCGTCTGCGTATTCTAAGTCATCAAGTTATAGTAGTATCGATCATGAGACCCAGTAAATCTATTGCATCATCGGCAAATGTGCAGTGAATGTCTCTATAGCCACGAAAATCCATCGTACTTTTTTCCAATGAAGTCAAAGGAAGTATCTACCTCCATTGTCAGTAACATCTAAACACAGATGCAAAATATCTTATATGGTAATGTGTTTCTATCTGTTTTCCAGTGTTGACATCATCGCATCACTTTCAAATCTATCATATGTTGGGACTATCGAGTTACCGATGCTGAGATTAGGTTCAGACTACTAGGTAACCATGCTAAATCGGTTGATGTGGTTGTAAATCTTTATTGACTAAGGTGTGCTGTCGTATGCCCAACTACATTCCTCACCTCGACAAAGTGCAATGTTTACTGTTGTAAGAGTAGTTCGTAAAAAGTTGAAGGAGGTAGTCAAACCCGAGGCACTGCTATGTTGTTAGGTTTAAATTATCATCCGAAATACCTTATGAAGTCCTTATAGTTGAATAATTACTTCATCTTAGTATCGTAGTATGTCTGTAATAGTAGTAGTTTTCTAGTTCTTTGTTCTACTAAATTGGTGTAACTCACTTTCATCTATCTCCCATAAACATTATCAAATATGCTGTGTTTTTTTTTATTATCCGAAGGGGTTTTGTAGATGTAATAGTATTTTTAATAGTTGAATTCATGAGTCAATTGAGGCTAAGCCACCATGAAAACCCTGTAAGTACTGGATGGCCGTTTCGTTCTATTGTGGGACTCTCCAGCAATGCGCATCCACGATCCCGCCTCGCGAGATTCAAACTCAGGACCTATCAGTCTCGCGTGCGAGCACTTAACTTCTAGACCACTGATTCGGCATGCAACGGTGTTAATGGTTAACTTCAACTAATCCACAAAATTGAACGACGCATCATGATCTCAACTATTAAAATTACTATAATATCTACAAAGCCCCTTCCGATATTAATCAACATATGCTCACTAGTGACTAGCTTCAAAAGGCATTTCCTGAAGTTCTATTGAGAATCAGTGACCAGTGGAGTTCAACCAAATCTGTTGTGAGATAGTATCTCACTGATGATAATGGTGGATTTGTCACTCAACTTCTTGGATTAGTTGAAGTTAGATATTAACATCGTTGGATGCCGACCAGCTCAGTTATCTAGAGGTTAGGCGCTCACACGCGAGACTGATAGGTCCTGAGTTCGGGTATCGTGGATGCGCACTGTTGGAGAGTCCCACAATAAGACGAAATGGCCGTCTAGTGCTTCAAGGTTTACCATGATGGTCTGGCTTCAATGAACTCATGATTTAAGCTATTAAAATTTTCTTTATTGTTTTAAGTTTTAAAATTTTTCCATTGTCAATTGTTTCATGATTAAACTCTGATTATCATAATCATGAATACAGTGATCCCATTTAACTCATCAAACATTTTTTTCACTTGTATAGTTAAAATTATTTTGCTTTTTGTTTTTTTGCTTTCTAATTTCACAATAATCATTTTAACTCACGTTCAAAGTTTATCCTTTTTATACACCGTATAGATTCCATATTGGATCGGTAGGTTTAAGTTTTATTATTATTAGTAGTAGTAGTATTAGTAGTATGTGGTATACAAGAAGCAAACAGTTCTTTTTTCTGCTTCTTTCATTATTCTTTTTACTATTTGCACTTTTGCTAAATGCTTTTTGATTGCTAGCGATTTTTCGCATGTTATGAATCTCATGTTTGTTGATCTGGTTATATATATATATATACACACACACACAAGTTTAAGAGTTTCCTTATGGCGAAGCATAAGATCACTGTATGTGTGTGTGGGTGATGATAGTTTCTATCCATATCTGGGATCACTATGGAAAAATTATGCTAGAGATAATTTTGTACGGAACGGATGTTTCATTTTTTAAGCTTGAAAGTATCCACCCTTTGTGTGGCTTTTTAAAGCTGATTAGAGAAGAGCTCAGAGTTTTACTACAAGAAGAATAAAGTCTTCCGACGTTGTCTATCCGATAAATGCATGAGTTAAACTACCAAGCTTAGCTTCGGATGTTGATGAATAATTGCTATGGTTTCAGTCACTCATTGCATTGAGTCTGTTTTATCACAGTCGCCTGTATTTGCAATTGTTAGGATTTCTAGTTTCTGTCATCTGTCTAATAGGTATTGGAATTGAAATTCTGAAATTTTCGTTTTAACAAAATTTAGGGTGATTTGATCACCACGTTAGATCACGTTTCCTACTTACCAAACTTGCCCCATTCCAGTTCTATTTTATTTTCAAATGTGGAATGGCTATGTAAAGGGTCTACATTGTTCTTCTATCCGATCCAGCCACTGATGCACACTCCAGCGCTTATACAATCAGCTACACTCAGAGAGGAAAGTAGAAACTGTGTATGTATCCTTTATTTCACCAAAAGCTAAATAATCATTCTTACGATTGATATGTGTATATAAGTTGTGAGAGTGACTCAGACAGGGACATGTGAATTATAGATTTAAGTAGATGAATAAGCTACTTACAGTAACTGTTGTGGTGATTCAGTAAATTTCTCGCAAAATACAAGAAAGGCTCAGGAAACACTAAGAAGCATTTTGTCCAATCAGCGTCCACTAGAAGTTTAGCCAGGAACATCAAGAAAGTGAGAAGTCACATGTGGAGTTTCTGATTATCTGATTATTTTCCTGCTACTATGTTTAGTAGCATTCTAGAATTTTCGGGAAACGCAAGGACATCTAAAATAGTATGAAAACCCTATATTTTCTGTACTAAAAGGAACCTTTGAAGTGAAGTGCTTCTCGTATATTTTGTGCCTTTTCTCTCGTGTGCAGGTCGCTGTGTAATTCTAGCTTGGTGGTTACGAGAATAGCTTAAGAACCGAATATAGCGTTCAATTAGCAAGACTTATCAGTAATCCCCTTGCCCACACTTTCACCTTAACCACCATGTAGTCTTGAAACCACGTGATACGTTTGGGATTGTTCGGAAAATTGCAACGCCATTAAAAATTGAAAACGCTAAAACGACAAATTAACTGTAGACTGTGATTTTCGGAAATTCCGAACGATGTGTTGTACAATAAAAATAGAGATATAATATATGTATCGCCACACATAAGAGGGCGCATATTTTGAAGGCAATACGTTTGAAATACTCTGGATTTTGAGAAGTGAGGTTTTTCGTGATCTTGGTTCATCCGGTTCATTGGATAGATCACAAATTATTCAATGATATTACTTGATAGTTAACTATATTCTATCTGTTATTCTGTTTCAATGTTTCATTGCTTAAAACGATTTATGCTTATGCGTTTGTAGATATGTGTATGTGTTTTCTTGCACTACTCTGTTAATCTCTGCTTTTATACCGCTTCATTAATTAACATTTTGCATGCGTTTTTAAAAAAAATTGTTTCTGTGACTGAACTGATCGATTAGGCGCTTCTTATTTTTGTTGCTGTAATCATTTACAGTAGTAAGAGTTTGTTAGTTTAGATTCGAATCATTGACTCTGCTTTTTTGTTGGTTTTTTTGCATATGGAGTGTAGTTTGTTAGTGGGAAAAAGTCTTGAATCATTTGTAATCTTAATAGTTGAGATCATGAGTCAGTTGAAGCTAGATAACTATGGAAAACCTGGAAGCACTGGAAGGTCGTTTCGTCCTACTGTGGGACTTCTCAGCAGTACGTATCCACAGTCCCGCTTCGCAAACTTAGAACCCAAGACCTATCAGTCTCGCGCGTGAGCGCTTAACCTCTAGAACTTTCAGCAATACATTTGTATATATTTTTAGAAAGTTATCGAACGGATATTGTTTTCATCACATGAACTCCTCTATGAATTTTAATACTGAAAAAAACAGAAATCTAATCCAACACAAAGAGGAACAACAAAGTTGTGTTTACGAAATCAAATGTAGTAATTTTAGTGCTATTTATGTAGGTGAAATATCATGACATTTGAATGTGCGGGTGAAAGAACACAAACTGTACTTAAAGCACATTCCTAAATCATCAAATGATGTAAGAAAACTTGAAAACAAATCAGCGATAGCATTACCTTCGATAGAATCAAGTCATACAATTGATTTCAATGGCACAAGGTCTTTATTCTTACAAAGAGAGACTAACAGTCGTAGCAAATCCAAATAGTATAAATAGGCGAGATGGAATACAATTAGCTGTCCCATGGCAACTAATAATTAATAAGTAAACTTGAACTCCTTATTCCATTTAATCTATCACTTATTATCTGAATATGTTGAATAATTAGCTGGAATAGGAAAAGTAACATAAACATTCATTCCTTCATTCTTATTTTGTTTATTTATCTTTATTTTATGCATGTTATCACGTATTCACCGAACAGAGACGATACATAGTCAGTGAAATTTCTTCTCACATCTCAGATGCACTTACGAATACAAACAATCTGTTATGTTAACACACTTTTCGTTACACACGTTACACCTAACTCATACACGCTAAAGCAAATACCTTGATGACTTATTATATTATATGCAAATATAAATAGTGGCTAGTAGTGGGGTCTAGGACGCGCGTTTTGTCCTATTTTAAACTCGTCAGATGGGTGTACCTGCACCTCAGAGTTGATGTTCTCTTCGGGGCTTGAACTCAGTACTGTTCTCTTCAAACGCCATCGCGTTATCCACTTAACTACTGGGTCCTGACAGCCACTTGCTTGTATGACTATATATTTTTGCATATAATGCTTGTGAATTAAGGCTATATCGACGCACAGTATGCAAATATATGTACAGGAGACTGATCAATTGCAGTGCTAAACATCAATGGGAAGATTCTATCAAACAATACCAAGTGAATTTATTTAGTATATTCTTAACCAGGGAACCTTGTACTTATTTATATTTGATTATATTTGTTTAAAAAAGCTTGAACCAGATTGCCGAGTGAAACGTTGGATTTACTTAAAATTTGATCGCTGAGATTTTACAGATACAATCTTCCTTCACAATTGATTCATCACTGGGTGGTGATCGATGTCATGCTTGTCTAGTCCTTATTAGTGCAGACCGAATGCTATCGATCATGTTGCAATGTGGCCACCAGTCTAGGTGACTCGACACTGCGGGCACTATGTGTTGAGATTTAGATGGTGGTTGGAGGTAGTCAACAGGAAACTCTGGACCCGGGTTTCGTGCTACATGGCACTCGTCAGCAAGGTGTACCCGGGTCCAGGGTTTCCTGTCGACTACCTCCAACCACCATGTAAATCACAGTCTTCCTTCTTAATTGTATTATGTGGCTAAGCGGTGTGAAAATAACTGTCATAGTATAGTCTTTTTTAAAATCTTTGAAGAGAGTGTATATTCAACGTTCAGCTTTCTTTAAGCTTCGGTAAATTATAAATTCCGAGAAAGTAATCCTGATTTGATTGATTTGAACACATAAATATTGGTACAAGGGGTCACCAGATACATATGCGCCACACAAATCTCATTTGATTTGTGTGAGGGCTGTGATACTACCCGGGTGCCCAAACCGAAGCTGGATCCTAGTTGTCAAGCTCTTCGGTTGGATGACTTTTGTAAAAATTCTCATATAAATAGGTCTGTTTATTATCTATGCGATTCATGCAAATGTATAAATTGACCCTATGATATGTCATCGTATCTTCTTAAAATTATTACTTACTTACTTACGACTGTTACTCCTCGTAAAGGAGCATAGGCCACTCACCAGCATTCTTCATCCAACCCTGTCCTGGGGAACCGCTAAAAAAACGCTAACCAGAAAAATAATTCGTAAAAGTGACGACTAATCTCCATTTGCGATTACTACATCAGACTAAAAGCTAATACGACAGTATTTTCGGCAGCAAAAGGTCATCCTAATATCTTGGAGTTTCTATAGATAACTCAATAAAAACGTGAAGATGTACATAATTTTAAAGTTTACCATCAATAAGTATGGTATATAGTTGGTGTAAAATAATGAAAAGTATTCGATATGAAACATAAAATTTCGTCTTCTATAAGGTTTGTTTGTAGTTTTAAAGGAACTGATGCTCCCCTTTGAAATCACATCAATTTAAAAGCTTTATTTGTCACATATTTATCTCATTTGAAGTGTCTCTGTGTTATGATATTGTCGTTCACTGGTATCACATGATAAACTCACCAATCAGAGTATCGATTTTTGTAACTTTGTACGTAATCTAACCAATGACACGCCAACCAGCACTAGTAGCATCAAATTACTGCCAAGTCCTTATTGGTTATGAATTCCCTAAAGTCTCTCATTGTTCTGCCTGTTGAGTCCAGAACACAGTAATGAGCCTGCACTATACGAACATCATATTTCAAACGTATGTACTTTATAGACAGAAATACCCGACCGCATCATACTAGGCTGATCGATATCTCATGATGAAAGGAATATATACACATGTCAGTTTACTTAGTTATGCAGTAAGAATATCTATATAATAATAGTCCATAAATTAGTTCTGGAAGTTGCTATTCCTTTATTCTTTGTTTGGATATTAAACGGTGAAAATCTGGAAGTATGTAACTCCTCAGTAGTGCGCACTCATGAAGCGGACAACGACCAAACACTGGACTTTTATGTCATCAGTAGATTCACTGAGTCTGGATCCAACTGTACAATTACAATTAAAATTAGTTTTCAATGAAGCAGAGGAATCCCCTACTAAGACAAAATAGTCTTTTGGTGTTTTAATTCTTACTAATACCTCAACTGAGATCAATTTGTAATGATTGTAATCTACATATTGGTATCCCACTAAATCCATAGTGGTCGATTCTAGCCAAGAATTCAAAAGCATGTAAACCATGTTCTCTCCTCTGTAGTTTAGTTTAGTTAGGAAGTATCATCAGCCTTCCTACTAATAATAAAATATGGCTCAAAACCTTTACCTAGTCAATCAACTATGTTACATATATTTCATGGTTTCCTAAAATTCTTACGCACATATTTTATTAACTGATATCATTAGATCTGAAAACATGTTCACTTCGTCCAGTAATGAAAACTACTCATCTCAAACATCTTTACAATCGATTAAATCATCATCTACGTTTACATCTTCCTTCACAACAACCACGAAATCAAATTCACAATCATTCAAAAGTTCACCAAGTCTCCCAATCGCATTACAAATTGTCCATGACAATGAATACATTACTAATCAACACGAACAAAATTCAACAAATGAAAAAATTTTAAATCATTCTCTTCATCATCATCATAATTCTTTATTAGTTACATCACCATTATCTATTCATCACAATAATCATTTAATTGAACCATCATTGAGATCTCGTATATCACCGCAACGTAGCAGGTAGTTATTTTTGATGATAATGATCATAACAATGCTGATGAAGTTTTTCTTATTGGCTATCAGTGAACATTAGTTTCTTTTTTCAATAGTTTACCTCTAGATCAGTAGTTTGGGTCCTTAGTCGTTGGTAGGTTTAAGTACAGTTTAGAGGTGTATTGTTTCCATGTAAGGGGAAAGTGAATCCACGAGCAAGAATTGAGAATTTGCTCCCGAACTTCTAGTGAGAGATCGTGACTGGTTGTGGTGTTCAACTTCGTTGACAATGAGATAGTTTATCATCAATGGGATTGAATAATATTGGACTACACCCGAAATCAGTCAAAATTGAAAATGTAGATCATTGGTTTCTAGTTCATTGTTACCAAGATCAACCATTCTCCATTAACTGACACAGTAATAATTTAAGAAAGATAATGGTTGATTAATTTTGGTTACTACACGTGTTCTCCATGATACTTAACCAGATGTCAAGTTGGATTGTGCACATAAATCGGTAACTAAGTGAGCAAACAAGTTTTAACCTTAAGTGATTGATGGAAACCGACCGAAGTAGAACCCAACTCTTTACACCATCGATTCAGTGAAGTGGAAGTTTTTCTAAAGCTTGTTTTGATTCATGCCAGTATATGTGATTGGGATAAACCTTATTGCTAAAACAATCAACGTTACATATTGAATCGGTTTCTCAGTTTAACTTTGTATTGTATTGATTCTTTGCGATCATAGGTCAGGCCTTTTCATTTAAGAATCCACAACTCAGTAAGGTTCTGTTGAATGACAATTATATTTTTTGCCAATCTTATTATCCTGTTAGATCCGTTGAATCATATCAATATTGATAGGGATCAATGAGTCAATGGTTAAATTGTAGTCACTAAAAGCAATTAAATAGTACAACTATGCCAACTTTATTATAAACTGGACAACTACAGTGTAGTAAAAATATGTTCTTAGATTTGATTAATTCCAGTCTAATCTATAGCTTAGTCAATGACATTGGAGTGTTAGTTAACAGAAATAGTATCTGAATCGACAATTGTGTATCTATGTGCTAATGTGGTATGACAACTCGAACTGATGTACATACGTACAAAGTTCTACGTTGTTACTGACTGACTGACTAATAGAAATTCAAATGTGTATCATTTGAATTGTATATCCGCTCATAATTTCGTAATTTCTAGACGATAATTCCTTTGAAAATTTGACTTCCTTCGGAATCTAATCAGATAATTACGAAGTCAAACATTTTACAACAGGTTTATGAGTTTATATTGTGGAAACATACATTTTTGTACTAATATTAATCAGTGATACATCTATCAAAGTCAGTCGTAGTCAGGATATGACTTGGTGTAAATATACATCTGTCCAAGTTGCACTCCGCTAACTTCATGAGGTGAAACTAACAGGATACATTAGTGAAGTTGAAATTATACTAATGATTATTGTAGTAGAATCGACTATACATAGAAACTACGTCTCTAAGAGAAGGAATGAATTCGAGAAATAAAAGTAGCGAAAAATGAATTATTTATCTGCGCCATTGCGGTCGGTTTTGACCAGTGTTCATCAACTTTACTATCCATCAACCATGATTCTCGCTCGGAGCCCAACCATATAGTCTGCACTCGCTAACAACTCGTACTCCAACCTGATTCTTTGCATGTCAGCTGTATGTTCCGCTTTAGACCATTATTAGAATGCTATTAATAGATGGAAATCAAATGTCATGGTTTATGTAATAGTTTTTTTTTTAGAAAATTTGCTTATTTTTAGTAAAAATTTATATCCTTTAACCGGGTCTATTTTGTATACTAATTTTTGTCTAGTCCGAACCCCCCGATTCATTTAGTTGTATCGCAATCTTTTAGAAAATCGCCGGCACCACCACCACCGGTGACATCAGCAAAGTGTGTAAATACAATCCCAGTAAGAAGCTCATCAACAAAACCTATCACATTGTCACAAACTCCTGTCACAACGACAATCAAAGAAACTGCCACTACTGCTGTCAATGCTTTGAATCATGAAGATCTATCCTCTCATAATCACTCTGATAAATGTAATAATTTTGAGGTTGAATCCGATCAAACATGTATACCGCATATGTCTTCTGAATAACACTATTTGAACTGCTCTCTATTCTGCCAGGTAATTGTTCTTTTTTTGCACTTTTTCGATATATATAACGTCAACCTGTAAATCATTGAAGACATGGGAAAACTTAAAGGGGTATGTACACTAGGACCCCCAAGAGACTGAGTCCATGAAATGCAGGCCTCGTATGGTGTGCCTTTACCTCGCTGATATAGGATCCACCAGTCCATGTATCCAATCTAAAAGGGTTCATCACAATTGTACCATTATTGCATGACACGAAATTGAATGAACTTTACAAATGGAGGTTTTTTAATAAGAATCAGCTCAGTAGTGCCTAGCCTTATGAAGAATCTTAGAGGTTTCAATTTGAAATCTTGACTGGTAGACTACTATTGTTACTGATACTTCTACTACTATTAGACATCATATCTATGAATGGTGATATGAATTGAGTTTATCAGTGGACCATTCTGTGTTTGAAGTGAAAAGTAATGGGTTCCATATACAGTGTGAACTTTATCAACGGACCTATCTAGTCTCCTATGTAGGAAAAGACACTCATGTTGTAATCCATTTTTAATCAAACTTTAACATGATGTTACATATTTTAATAAAAAACAAAGACTTATTCCTTATTTTCGCATCATTATGTTTCAGAACTTCAATGCATTGATACAGAAATACAGATGTCAAATAAAATGTACAAGTATATCACCTAACTCAACTGATTGGTCGAAAATTTCTGTGTACAAATTATTCTACTTAAAACTTATAAATAGTGTAAAAATGTTTGAAAAATTACTTGTCAAATAGCGTTCGACTTGTCTTCCTTTCTTTTTTTTTGAGAAAAAATATACATCATATTACTTATATTTACGTATGTACACACTATTTTTAGTCTGTTTTTGATCAATCAAGGTATCTCTTTCATGCTGTCGTTCTTGTTTGTTCCTTTAGATTTTTTCTTTTTCATTGGAAATAATCTCAGTATCTGTATTGTACGTCACAATGAGAGTAAAATAAATTGTATTATGATGTATATCCCAGATTATTTACAGGTTGATTGATTAGTTAAGTTTTTTTAGATGTGTACTGACTTCCCGAATGATAAGAGATCGTTTTTCTTGTCGTGAATCGTTCGTTCGCAAATTTCCAACATTATCTCATGAAACATTTGTTGAAAATGTAGTATTGACCATCCCCCCCCAGTAATTTTGACTTTGATACAGTTATTTATTGTAAATATAAAGTTCAGAAATGAATAACGTCTTTTCATTTTTGGATTTGATGGAGGTTTGTCGTTTATGTCCCATAGATTTATACTATGTAATCAGTGTTGTGTTGTGGCTACAGTAAGATGCTTCAAAAGTTAACATTAGGGTCAAATGTGACAATTCTGAAATGTGATAATACAAAATCTGTGCTCAGTCGAAGTGTTCGAATTTCAGCGATTTCAAAATGTGGTCCGATTTAAGAAGACCATTAAAGGATAGCTTTTTTTATTGTTGTGTTTCTGTATACGGTAACCTGCTTGAATGTTTTGGCTACCTGTTCCTCTCATCTAAATATTACAACAAGTTATCTTTTTTATTTTGTTCTAACACATTACTATGTTTATTAGTCGCACAACCTATTCAAACGCATTTTTGAGTAGTTTACGACCAATTGCCTTGCAAGATACAAAAAAGTATAATCTGAGACATCGTGGTGGCCATCAATATGCGTTGAAAAGAATTAGTTCTGTTCAGATGTCGATTCCTAAACTGCTTAATTATAACTGTTAATTACTGATTGGCAAGGTAAATTGTTTAAAATTCCCTCCAAGTCAAAATATGTATGGAAATCGGGGTGTAATCACAATTCAAGGATCTCGGTTAAGTGGTTTTCAAGACGTTTTCCTAATTTCACTACAAGATTTCAATATATATCGTCTGGATTGATCAGGCAGTAAGAAAGGGTGTTCGAGTGATGTAGCCACATTTGTAAGTGAGAACTGGTGTCATTCTAATTTTTTCAAATATTAATTTTTCAAACGACTTTATCGACTGTTTAACTTTAAGATGCCGTCGGAAACACGTGAATAAATATACTTATGTTCATGTTACCGATATCTACGTGACTCCAGACTGCACGTCATCTGGACTATCTGATTTCGTTGATGAATTCACTGAATTTGATGTTACTACCTTCAGTAGTTCACTTTCGATTGTGTGTGGTGATTTTAATTCATGTGACTTTAGCTTTCATCATTAGGTCATCAAAATGCAGTAGACTTTCCCACGCGTTTGGATACCCATTTAGACATGGTTTTCATTATTGGTGAGGAAACATGTGAGACTCATAAACGTGCCGCATTGTCTAGTTTGGAGAGTGTTCGACATATCTACTTTCTCATGAAGGTGTGCTACGAGGTGTTGTTCTTGTGCCCCTTCGTTTCCGCATAATCTATCTTCCGCAGTAAACACTTGTTAAATATGCGGACGATTTCAATGTATGCATGCCAATTTTCACCTCCTTACATCTCCTTGAAATTAATGAGTTCTTATCTCGTATGGAATAGTGGTCTATTGTTAATAGTTTCACACTTAGTCCGTCTAAATATCAGACTGTCAATTTAAGTCTATGACACCGACGGCGCTTAAATATTTTGTTGTTCTGTTGGGAGTTCTTTGACAGTGTCAAGAATCAGTTGTCTTTATGTAAGTTTTTCCTCTGAACTACTTGGGTGTTCTCATGTTTTTTTGTTTTGAACGTTTTTCAACTGACTTACTCCATAGTGAGGCTGCATGCCTTTAACACTATTCAACATTTACTCTTACGATTTGTCAGTTCTTGTATATTCCTCATTATTCTTATTGCTCTCCACTGTTCTTTCCCGGGCTTTTGAGAAAATAATTTGCTGTAGTGTGGAGAGTGCTGAATGCAATTAGCACGGTTTGCTGTGAATCTTTTATGTTTATTATTATAATGGTTGTGGATAGACGTTTAAGTTCTCGCGAATTCTTGTCAGGTATTATCGTATCAGATGCTACACATGCACATCATTCATATCTTTCTTCTTGGATATCTCTCGGTCGGGCGAAACATCAAGATATTAAGACGCATACTCACAAGCAGAGAAATAAAACCTTCACATCACCTTATCTAACAACTATGCTATGTGACGAAAAGGTTGTTAGAGTTCATCTAGTCAACAACCTGTGTTCAATTCAAGAGTACAGATTTAAATCTTCTGAAAAAGCATTGCGTTTACCTACAAGTAGTTTATCCATTTAACTCATGCAGTCATCAGTTTCCTTCGCTTTTTTCATTTTTCGTTAAATAAACTTGTTGAAATAACTCTTTCTGAGAATTCTGTTCTACCGACAATGTAACATTGAATACAGTCGTTGATAATAATAATCGGATCAGTACCCTACAAACTTTGAGAGATGCATTGCCGTGACCGATTCTTTTCTTATCAGTATTCAGCAAATTGATCATGTTATGGATGGCAGTGGCTCGTCTTTATATAGTGTGTTACTTCGAATATTACTACTAACTTCGATGAGATCCATCACTTTTAGACAGTAATCATGATCACTCCGTTAATTGCGCACGCATAACGAAATTTTACCTTTCAAGGTTCATTGGCCTGTTTGAGTTCGTTTTAATGACAGTCTGGGTTATTCTCCTCCCGCCACTTTATTCATATTCTCTTCAGAATCTTTAACACTTTTAGTTCTTGGAGTGTTCCTAATATTTCTAGCACTTTATGTAGGGTGGTCTATCATATTTGTCTCATTTACGTAAATATGAAATGCATTGTGATATAAAATATTATTTTGTTAGCAGGATTATGTTTGATTCATTTATTAAGTCTTTGTTCCTGAAGAATTTTGATGTTGAGGACTACGTTGTCGATGAACACGATATGGACTTTCCATCTATTAAACTAGATAGCTGTTTGGCCAAACACGACTACTGCATCTATTAAATAATACTTTTGGGCCGCCGATTTGAAGTTCCAAATATAATGAGTTTACTTGTTCTCATCCAGTTCAACTTTCTGCAAACTACACTATGTCGAGTATTCCTAGTCAGTACAATAATTCGAATGCTTCTAATTATCATACAAACCCGACTTACTATAATACCTTAGTTTAAAATTCATCTCCGACGACCTCCTCAGCTAATCAACAATGATGAGTCAAAATATGACAGATGAAGCTACTTGCTATTCATTTTTTATATTCTGTCATCTTTGAAACTTGCAGATCATGTTTGTCAATGGGACATAGGTTCAGGTCAGGATTAGTGTACCTATGCTAACCGAATGATATACCTAATCTAATCTTGTGGACTTGCCCTGATCTTACTGCCTAATTTGTAATATTATACGCCAAAGTCACATCATTTTCCATACTGATCAGTCTTATTGTGATAATCAGCGATTGTTCGTATGATAGTTTAAACTATGACGGGGTTGCTGAAATGTCATGATCCAAGGTTTTCATACTTAATGACCCCTATCAGTCACTCTATGATATATTTTTGTAAACAGATTCTGTCATTTGAATCAAGGTTCTCAGACAGTGATTTATTCCTGGGTTAGAATTCTCGCAAAGTTGCGATTGCGGCCGTAATGAAAAGTCGGGCAATCATCTGACCAAAAAATTTTCCAGAGTAACCATGGCGACAGATTGGCGCAGGTCGACAAAAGAATGAACAAGAATTTTTAAATCCAAGCAATTAGGATTGCTGAATCATTTCTAAGATATTTTCTAACAAAATAAGACTGATACATGAACGGTCTCTGCATGATTGAATTTATCGATAAGTTTGTCTCCAATCCAAAGAGCTTACGCAACCTCTCTTCAAAAAGCTAAAACCGGAGTTTCCCAACTCCTAGGTCCCAATGACCCGATCAACAACGACGGTGACGCTGCTAATCTCCTGGCTGATCATTACTTTCGGACATTTCAACTAACTCACATTAACTATATTTATTAAAGCTTCATCTGAGACTACACAGGACTTTCAGAAGTGAGCGTGAGGATAGACTTAATGTACCGGGAACTGCAACACCCAAAAAGACATCTCACCTGGTCCGGATATGGTTCGTTCCGCTAAACTGAGGAAAACAGCTTCAGTGTTGTCAATACCGCCTAGCATGAGGTTCTCACACTCGCTTAGCCGAGTTACATCACCGGGAATTTGGAAGCAGGTTCACATCACACCAATTTTGAGGGAGGTCGACGCAGTGAAACTTCATGCTACCGACCGGTGGCCCATCCCTCTATACCCTTAAAAATTATGGAGTCCCTGATGTGCGATGGTCTACACGACTATTTGTTATCCGTAAACTTATTTTCGCCCAACAACACAGTTTCAGAAAAGGTCACTCTTGTATAATCAACCTGCCAACTGAGGTGGACAGATGGACAATCACCCTTGATCACGAGGGCAGGGTTGACATTATTTACCTTGACTTCTCGAAAACTTTTGATAGGGTCAACTAAAAATGTCTTACCAATAAGCTCAAAAGATTAGGTATCAAATCACCTTTATTGATTGGCTCACTTCACATATAAAAAAATCAACACTTCAAGATCAGGGTTAACTTCAACTTCTTTCAGGTTATGGAATACCACAGTGGAATCCTTCAGGGTTCAGTACTAGGACGTCTTCTTTCCTTGATTTATATAAACGATTTTCCACAACAGGTATCGTTAGACCTATTGCTTTTTACTGGTGATATGAAACTTTGGGGAGAGATGCACAGAGAACAGTATAAAATGAAAAAGATATAGAAGTGACTGTACCTTACTATTTGAAGTCTTGCGCTAACTGCGACAAACGCGAGCAAACCTTGCACTGATAACATCTAAGCTCATTTTGGCCGGTTCGACGGAAGAACTTTGCAAGTAATCTTCAACAGTTTAATGCGTTCTCATTCAGGGTGCGGAGACATAGTATTTCCTCCTTCACATCAAAAGGAAAAAGAGGACTCTGGATCGTATCCAACAGCGAGCCACGAAATTAATCTGGAGACTCAAAATCAAGCCTTATGAAGAGTGCTTCTAGTCACTGAACCTTTACCCATTAAAGGTGACCTTCTAATGGCTTACAGCATCCTTAACACTCCTGAGTATCCCTTAAAGACCTACATGAGCTTAGTCCCAACACAAACTTTAGGGGTATCAGCGAGCAACTAGCGACATAACTCAGCAGAACCGACTTTAGACACAACTTATACTCTTTAAGAGTAGTCAAACGCTGGAATCCGCTGGAAGCTGAGCTAGTCCAAGCGACTTCTCAGGAGTCCTTTGAGAGAAAACTTTAAGTATTCTAATGGACTGAGGATAGCATCTTACTATGATTTATCAACTTTTTTCTTTTTCCTCTTTCATGGTAAATATACTTAAGTTCCTGCCTGAAGGTATTGATGATTTACTGTTATTAAACACGGAAGCACGTTAAGCAAAAGCTTCTTCTTTTCCGTCCAAAACCATTTGACACATTTAATAATTTAAAGTGCAAGGCAAAGCGCGACTGTTGCAAAATGCTGCGCTACGCGATCTGTAATGTAAATCTTGCTTTAAATATCTTCATGGTTAATTGGAAGTAGTGTTCAGCATGCCTTATAAAGGAACTAGATTTTATTCTTTTCTTTGCATTGTACACGTCGGAATCATAGTTAATCGGATATTAGCACTAGGTTGATGTAGTCAGATATCCAATGTTTTTTAGTAACAGAAAGCAGATGGCCTGTCTTAGCCTTTCATAATAAGCTGATGAAAGTGTGTGGTTTTATGTCAAAGCGTTTAGTTGAAAGGGCGGACGTCACTTCTGGCAAAACGTTTCAAGAACGGGTGACGGTGTGAAAACCTGTATGTCATGGGTCGTTTACTTATCCCTTACTTGTGTTCTGCTATGTCCTTTGAGTTGTCCTAGTCTGTTTGTCAAAAAACGAAAATTTATATCGGTACCAAACCTTTCCCAGTATGCTATGCATCAAAATCAGACCACTTCATCTGGTAGGGCAGAGTAAAGAAGTATAGATTCTCAAGCCACTCTTTGTATGGTTAACGCCGGAGTCACTATATGGTGATCAATATTAGTCAAACAATTTTTTCGGTCACCTTTTAGAAGAGTTTTCGTGAAAAATCGGTTTTCATCCAAGATATAATCATGCAGGAAACCAGATTATGGCGACTATAACTCTAGATCATTCAATAAGCCTTCGTAAAACGTACTTGAGATAGTTCTTCGTATTCCCATATGATAGGAACACCTCAAGCTTGTTTTACAAGTGGAGTTTTGCCTAGGCACTCGGTTCCCGTATCTGCGGGTACTTCAAGCTTTTTCATAAACCATAAAAAAACTATGGAGTTACCATAATGTATAACAATAACTTCTGGGACCTATTAATGATTTAGCTACCAAGCAGACTACAAATCCTGCGTACATTGATCTTCATATTGGCATGTTAAGATCACAATATTGGTGGTCAAACATTGATTGGTGAAAAGAAGCCTAGACTTGTAATCCTCTGGTCTGAATTGGATTGTCTAAATCTTTAGTCAATCTCTATGGTTCTGTAGTGTCGTTGTATCTTTAATATGAAGGCCTAGATTGACCTGTAGGTTCTTATTTTTTTAAACTATAACCAACAAAATTTCATTGGTCATCTACTTGTTGAAATTGGTCAGGATGTTCTTCCTTCGTAGGACATTATTGCATTGTACTAACCATCAGTTAAGTTATTCAACTCATGTTTATGGTAAGTTTTCAGCTTAGACTCACCATACCTATTGGGTGACATCATACGTCTTTGACTTGGGAAACTGAAAAGGTATGGTTTAGAAACGGCTGATAAATATGCAACGAACCAGACAGCGTGAATGGAACATTGAAGTAGGTCCCCCAACTCTCGCTGAAGTTCAAAAGGCCATAGTTAATCTGAAACGAGGAATGGCAGCTGTCCAGATGGACTGGCTCCAGAAGTCTTTAAGGATGGTGGTCCAATTTAGCGACTAGGTTGACTAATATTTTAGCTAAAATCTGGGATTTAGACGTTATCCCATCTGACTGGTCGCAATCACTTATCGTCCCAATATATAAGAAAGGGTCAAAATCATCCTGTGACAACCACAGAGGGATTAGTTTAACAAACATAGTATCTAAAATACTGGCCTCGATAATTATCAAACGCCTAACTAAGACTCGTGAACTACAAACACGAGAGAACCAAGCTGGCTTTAGACCTGGTCGTGGCTGCATCGACCACATATTCACCATTCGTCAGGTTCTAGAACACAGGCATACCTATCGGCGTCCGACGATGGTGGTCTTTCTTGACTTAAAAGCAGCATTTGACTCTGTAGACCGCGAGACTCTGTGGCAGTGTCTGTCATTGAAAGGCGTACCTCAGAAGTACATAAACCTTGTGAAGGCTCTTTACTCGAACACTACTAGTCGAGTCAGGGCTTATGGCGAACTGTCATCTACTTTTGCAACCTCAAGTGGTGTCCGTCAAGGCTGTCCACTTTCTCCATTTTTGTTTAACTTCATCATAGATCTACTGATGGAAATAACTTTCTCGTCGACTGAGTTCTCGGGTATTGATCTCCATCCAGGAGGTCCACTTATCGACTTAGAATACGCAGATGACATAGTCCTGTTTGGTGAAGACGCTGACAAAATGCAGAGTCTTCTGGTAGCACTGAGCAACAATGCCAGAATGTTTGGAATGCGCTTCTCTCCCTCTAAATGCAAGTTGTTGCTTCAGGACTGGTCTGCGTTAACACCTGAACTAAGGATAGGGAGTGAAGTAGTCGAACGCGTTGACAACTTCACTTATCTTGGAAGTCTGATCAGCCCTAATGGGTTGGTATCGGACGAAATCTCAGCACGGATTCGAAAAGCTCGTTTGGCTTTTGCCAACTTACGTCACCTATGGCGAAGGCGAGATATCCGTCTATCAATAAAAGGACGAGTATACTGCGCGGCAGTCCGTTCTGTTTTAATTTACGGCAGCGAAACATGGCCATTAAGAGTAGAAGACACTCGTAAGCTACTAGTATTTGACCACAGATGCCTTAGAAATATTGCTGGCGTCTGCTGGGATCACCGGGTAAGTAATAGTGAGGTTAGACGCAGGGTATTAGGGAATGATGGTAAATCAGTTGATGAGGTTATGAATCTTCATCGACTGAGATGGTTGGGCCACGTGTTACGTATGCCTGAACACCGATTACCACGACGTGCAATGCTATCCGGTGTTCGGGATGGTTGGAAGAAAGTTAGGGGCGGCCAAACCAAAACGTGGCATCAGTGCTTGAAGTCACTAACTTGTAGTCTGAGCCATGTTGGTAGATGCAGACTACTTGGTTGGGGTCCGCGTGACTATCGTAACCAATGGTTGGAGACTCTTGGTGACATGGCTCAGAATCGATCACAATGGCGTCGGTGTATACACTCCCTGTCTTCCCTTAAACTAAGAGATTAAAATCACTTCATATCTTTCTTTCTACGAACCAATTCTTTCTTCTTGTACTATATTTCTATATGCAATCCTTCTCTTATATATTACCACCTTTGACCTAACCACTGCTATGAATCCGGTGTTCATCTTGTTGTGCTGAGGCGGTATGGCAACCTGGACCGATGCACATATGTGCCTGGTCCTATGTTGTAGCTGACTGACTGACTGAGAGAAATTTTGAAATGATGACACTTTGTATCTAAAAAGAGACCCTTTGAGAATAGTCATACATCTAATTGTCTAAATAAGTATTATAGACTCTTTAGCAATCTATGGTTAACTAAGTTCCGAATTTTGAACATGCTTTCTTCTTAAAGTTTCTCAAAAGTTAGAAAGTCGAATTATATGGAGCCTAATGCTTCAATGAAAGTACATCTGGTTCTGTATTTTTTCTGTTCTATGTAAAGACTCCCAAAGTCTTTAAGATTAAATGTAGTTTTTGTAAAATATTTATGGGTTATAAAGCGAAGTGTTCAATGCTTTTCTTATCGAAACTATAATCTGATTTGTACACTGACTGACAGGCACGTAAAAAGTTCAACGGATTTGTTTTCAAACTTATTCATATGTATCTCCCAAACCTTATAAAAGATATACAGGCGTTTCAGGCCTTTTCATGATCTTTTTCAGTAGTTGGTAGCACAGTGGTGCATCGTTTCCTGTCATTTTGGAGGTGAAAACAGTTGTAGATTTGTTGAAATGTTTCGTCGAGTTATTTTAACGTAAACAGATTACAACTCAATGACTTGTTATATATTTGCGTACTTGGCTCCAAGACGTATTTTGTGTAGTGGTTACTCACTACACAGCTGTAAGTATCGGAGTAGGCGAAACAGGTTTCGAAGTTGAAACTTGGGTGTAATAATCAGCAACACCGCCAAGAGGTATAGATCAAAGGAAATAAAACTTGGGGTTGAAATTTTTTGAATAAATTATGTCTTAGCTGTTTTCTATGTCAATCGGTTAGTTGTTGGTTATTTCTCTGAACTGCGCTGTTCAACCACATATTGGCAATAAATTTTCTTGCTCATGTATACCGTCATTATAATAGTTTAATGTTTAGAGGTAACTCATTCACGAGGTTCATGTTTATGATCCACATTCTTCAGTCAGTCAGTAACAACGTAGAACTTCGTACGTACGTACATCAGTTCGAGTTGCCACACCACATTAGCACAGAGATGCACTTGTCGATTCAAATCCCGTCGTGGTAGAGGTAATAAGAGTATAAGCAGTAATCGGGAAGATTAGGGTTTGGAGATGTTATTTAAAGAGTATAATCCAGTGAAAGAAATTTGGAAAGAGGAAAAAAAGGGACATGAAGAATTCAGAAGATTAGAATTTGGGAGAACACAGAGAGTGGATGCACCTGCGCCATTGCAAACGATTTTGAGCCATGTCATTCAGGGTCTCTAACCAACGGTTGCTGTCATCTCGCGGTCCCCAACCAGGTAGTCTACACCTACCAACATGACTCAGTTCACTTGTCAGTGACTTCATGGACTTGTGCCATGTTTTGGTTTGGCCGCCCCTAGCTTTCTTCCAACCTACTCCTATACCACTGAACATAGCACGTCGAGGCAGTCGGTCGTTGGGCATACGTAACACGTGTCCCAGCCATCTCAACTGATGAAGTTTCACTACGTCATCAATTGATTTGCCATCCTTACCTAGTACCCGTTTCCTAACAACTGTGTTACTTACTCGATGGTCCCATGATATATGAGCAATGTTTCGAAGACACCTATGATCAAATACTAGTAACCTACGGATATCCTCTACTCTTACCGGCCATGTTTCACTCCCATAAAGTAGGACGGAACGAACTGCTGCGCAGTAAACACGTCCTTTGGTTGATAGACGGATATCTCGCCTACGCCATAAATGACGCAAGTTGGCAAAAGCTAATCGAGCCTTCTGTATCCGTGCTGAGATTTCGTCACACACTAAACCACAAGGGCTGATGAGACTTCCAAGATAAGTGAAGCGGTCGACACACTCAACTACTTCACTCCCTATCACTAGTTCGGGTGTCGATGTAACCCAATCCTGAAGCAACATTTTGCATTTCGAGGGAGCGAATCGCATCCCGAACATGCTTGCATTGTTGCTTAGAGTGGCCAGAAGACTCTGCATTTTGTCAGTGTCTTCACCAAATAAAACGATGTCATCAGCATATTCTAAGTCAACAAGTGAACCTCCTGGTAGAAGTTCAACCCCTGTAAATTTAGATGAGGAGAGTGTTATCTCTAAAAGTACGTCAATGACAAAGTTGAACAAGAATGGGGAGAGTGGACAGCCCTGACGAACACCACTTGAGGTGATCAATTCTGATGACAGTTCGCCATAAGCTCTCACTCGACCAGTTGTGTTCGAGTAGAGAGCCTTTATAAGGTTAATGTACTTCTTTGGTACTCCTTTCAGTGACAAACACTGCCATAGAACCTCACGATCAATCGAGTCGAATGCCGCCTTAAGGTCGAGAAATACTACCATTGTGGGGCGTCTGAATGTGTGTCTGTGTTCTAGAACCTGACGTAGTGTGAATATCTGATCTATACAACCACGTCCAGGTCGAAAACCAGCCTGGTTTTCTCTAGTCTGCTCTTCACGAGCTTTAGTTAGGCGTCGAAGTATTATTGAAGCTAATATTTTAGACACTATATTAGTCAAACTGATTCCTCTGTGATTGTCACAAGAGGACTTTTGTCCTTTCTTAAAAACTGGCACAATCAGTGATTGAGACCAGTCAGATGGGATTACGTCCAGTTCCCAAATTCTACCTAAGACCTCAGTTAATCTCATTGCTAATACTGGACCACCATCCTTAAAAATCTCAGGAGTAAACCTGTCAGGGCCTGCTGCTCTCCCTCGTTTCAGATTTCCTATGGCTTTTTCAACTTCGTAAAGGGACGGAGGACCTACATTAACTTGCCATTCAGGTTGACTGGAGATCGTGGGAAACCGAAGTGTGGCTGAAGGCCAGTTGAACTGATCCCTAAAGTGTTCTGCCCATCGATCCAATCTCCTGGATTGAGAATGAATAATATGTCCATCTTTCTCTGAGATTGTTTCGAGATCCACATTCTTAGTGTGGACGTTAACGATATCATGTGGTTGGTCTAACTGAAGTAGGTGTGGCGGGGTTCGAACCCAAAACCTTGTGTTTAAAAGACGGACCCCTTAACTACTAAGCCTCCATTCCATCAGTCTGATCTTCACTCCTATAGATACACAATTGATGCTTTGGATAAGTTTGTTATTTGAAGTTGTTATATTAAGCAATCGCTGTAATGAAATAAATGTTAGGAAGACAAATAGTAAGTACAGTATAGGTGGAAAAATCACCAAGATTAAAACTCATTCATAGTAGACCGGAAACTAAAAGATAAATGCCACGGTTTGTTATCACATTGTGTCATATTTTATCATCCATTGTTGATACGATGCCCATAGATTAGACCCAATAATCAGATCGTAACTGATTAGAAGATGAATGATCTACAACTCGATTTCCTCCAATCGCTTATGGCGTTTTGTCTTATTTATTTTGTGTTCAGATTTTCTATATATAAGCAAACCACATGAAAAGCTATTTTTGTGGCTAGTAGTCTTGTTTTTGATTTTAGTCATGTGGAGGTCTACGTTAGTGATACGGTCTTGACAGTAGATATCACTCGATCATATTATGTCGTAGCGTTCATCTATCGATTAACATTTTATCCATCGACTTTAACTATTGAAATATCACGTCTATCAGAAAATCCACCCCACAATAAGTGTATATTGTCTATGTAAACAAAGAACAGGACCCTGAGTTCGATCACTATATGTATATATAACTTTACCGAAATATCTACGTAAGTATAATACTCTGATAAGCTAATTTTCAATTTGTAGTACACTACTCAAGATGAAAAGATAAGTAAATGTAATATTATTTCATTTTTCATGTGAGGGTGTAAAATATCACTTCATCGTTCAGATGTCCACAAAACGCCACCAATGATAATATTACAAATTCTTCACATAAGTCTACAATAGATCCATAATTTTTAAACCAACATAGTCGAAAACATCTGATTACAAACCAGTAGATAAAATGGGCTATTCAATGTAAAACAAATTAATTACGTTCACATTTGCAACTCAATGTTGTATTATTTTGCTGATTATATATTAATGTTAACCATCGAACATTGAACCTATTTACTTGTTTTAGGCCATTTGAAAATCATTAGCATAGGGGTTAAGGAGATTATTAAGTTTTGATTGAGATCATGAACTGATTGACGTTAGACCACCGTTAAAAGCCTGTATTTATTTATTTATTTATTTTAACACATAGATATTGGTAAAAGGAGACACCAAATACATATACGCTACACATTTCATTTGATATGTGTGAGGGCTGTGATACTGCCCGGGTGCCCAAACCGAAGCAGGTAATTTCTTAGGGGGCCACACCCGGAGCCTTCGACTTGAAAGTTTGATCTACAAGGCAGTGGAGCAACGTAAGGAGATGCAGTCCCATAGTATTCGGTGACCATGATTGATTTATATACCATTTGTTCCTTCAGGTACCTGGAGCCCATGTGCACCATTGGTTTGGAATGGGGGTTTTCCAACTCCCCTAGGTGGAATTTCCATCAACCTGTTAAAGCTCCAGACATTCGCCTTTCGTCCTCTCAATTTTGTAAAGAACAGCGCCGCAATGAGAAAGCAGTGAGTAGGACTTCCCTGGCAGAGGCTATATACGCATGGTCATGTGAGAGAATTTCGAGAGCGAGGGCGGACTCTCCCCACTCTCGGCCGTACCAGGGTCGTCCTATTGTGGGAACGAAACAGCCGTCCAGTGCTTCCAGGCTTCCAACGACGGTCTAACATCAATCAGTTCATGACCTCAATCATTTGGAAATCATTTAACTAACTGCATCACATTTGTCAATTATTATTAGTACAGAAATTAGTCAAGTGTTTGTTTTTGTGCTTTATCTATGTTATATTGAAAATTTTATTTCTAATAAGATGAAATCAAGTTTCAATACTTATTTATTTAGAGAAAGTATTTACAAATACCGATATTATCAAATTCTTTATCAACAAATCAGTTCAATGAATCAAAAGTTTATAATTTCACTTCAAGATTACAATCTCTGGCAGATAAAAGGTAATGAAATAATTTTTTTTCACTTAACATCTCATTGATCTTATCACTTTGATTTTATATTATAGTAAAAATATTTTAATGAATCGTGATCCTTATTGTCCACCAGAAGATGTTGAATTACGTATTGAAGCTTTAAGTAAAAAGTTATTCAATTTGAGTTCATCAAACAATAATCAATGGAAAGCTTATCGTTTTCAGAATAATGATGAAAAATATAAAGTAAATTTAATTTAGTCAATTGTTTATACAAATCTCAAATCTATTGTTTATTTATTTATTTAAACACATAAACATTGGTACAAGGAGACACCAAATAGATATGCATTATATAAATCATTCGATTTGTGTGAGGGCTGGAATACTTCTTGGGTACTCGGACTGAAACAGGTGGTTTTCTTAGGGGTCACACCCGGAACCCTTGACCTAAAGGTTTGGTCCACAACGCAGTGGAGCTATGTTAGGAGATTCATTCCCACGGTAGACAGTGACCAAAAATGAGTCCATACTCCATTTGTCCCTTCAGGATAGTGGAGCCCATGTGCACTATGTTTTTGGAATCAGGGATTTCCAACTCCTTTAAATGAACACTGTGTTCACCAACACGGTTAAAGCGCCGGACATTCGATTTTCGTCCTCTCAATTCCGTAAACAACAGTAATGCCGCTAGAAGGCAGTGAGTAAGACAGTGGTTGTATACACTTGTTCATGTGAGAGGATTTCGAAATGGAGAGCTAACTCTCTCCACTCTCGCCCGTACCAGGGCATTTGCTATTTTTTTGTCATATATACTGATATTTAGCTTAACATTTCCCCCACTTTTTAAATACCTATTACTTAAGTCATATAAGTCCATTCATTATGTAGTTAATCACTAAACATGCTATTATACCATATAAGTTCGTGATTTCGTATTTTCAGTTAACTTAAAATGCACCTTACAAGTTGTCATCATGCGCAAAATATTTGAATAGCTTCAAAAAAGCCTTAAGTATAAGAGGTTTGTAAAAAATGAGAATATATTTTAATAATAATGTGTGATGGTCGGTATTCAATATAATCCTTAAACTTCGTATACCATTTGTCCTGATAACAGTCACTGGATAACATCTCAACGGTGTATTAATCAGAAGATGAATGCGAAGTGTTGATTACGTTTATTATTGCACCACGCATAGATAACCAAAATTACAGGTACGCTAAGTAAGCATGGAAGAGTAGTGGCGAAAAGCAAACGGGCAAACGAGTGAACAGGATTAAAATATACATATATATGTACATAGGTAAATGAATGAATCATCGAATCAATTAAGCGACTGATAGTAAGGCTATCATAATGAATATATATGCGTAGGTAGTAAGGATTGTTTAACTATACATATTCATACAAGCACAACAATAATAAAGGTACAATAGTATAGATACGTTGTTATTGTACGAATATCTCTATCCATCAAATAAGTTAACAAAAGGGTTTAACCAAATTAAATATGAACAAACTCCATTGCATTGAGCTGCTATAAATGCGTAAAATAAAGAAATAAATGTCTTGAACTATTATTCAAAATGAAGCTTTAAGGATAAATAAGAAAGAAAGTGTATCTATATCATTCTGATCAATTTTTAACCATACCATCTAATATCTTTGACGATGGATCACAGTTACCTTGTTGATCTCCGAATGAATGAGTCAATGCATTCTAATCGATTAAAAGAAATTAGGGTGAGACTCTAATTTATGGACGAGCCAATCAGAAGCATTTTAGAGATTTCAAGGTTACGGCGCCAACTTCAGTGCTTAGTGCTGACGTACGATCGGTTCATAGGGAATTTTGTACAAAACGTGATAATTGAGCGGCTATAACAAATAAAACGGCGGGACTATAATTTGTGGACGAATCAATTAGGTATAAGATAACAGATCTCGGACTTTGGTGCGAAAGCGTTTCATCTATTTGGCTAAATAGATTCCTGGCATTATAGCTTATGTCAGTTTGTGATGAAAAACCTATATATAATTCTTAACTAAGGCAAATTATGACAATTATTGCGAACTGGATAATAAAAGCATCAGTAACACTGGCTGCAGCCAGGTACTACAATATATACGGATGTTTGGAAAGCGCATAGACTCCTACATATGCTTGGTTATGTACATCGTATCGTTAACCACAAGTGGCATTTTGTGCACTCAACAACCGGAGAGCACATAAACAATATTAATGCTGTATGGTCGAGGTTGAAAGAGTTTTTAAAACTTTATCATGGCTCCAGAGGTCGACTATTCCATAGCCGTATGGATGATTTCCTCTACTGTATGCATTACGTTTTTACAACCTCTGAACCTCTTTTTAACCTTGAAAAGTTTTTGAATCACGTATAATAAGTGTATCCACCTTATTTCTTTGGTTTTGTATAACACCTTTTCACTGTATACTGACTGTTTGCTGATTGGCTAATATTTCTCAAGGTCATTCAAGGTTCGTTCAAAGGTCGTCCATAAATTAAAGACTCGCCAAAATTAGTTTTGATTAATACATCCATCATGAACTTGACTATTATATTCAAATTATTCATTGAAATGGATATGATTTTTATTCACATTGTGTTTATATGCTACTTTATTTTTTAAAACAGATATTTACCGCATGTATTACAGAGTTTAACCATCATATTGCCAATAGTTACCTTCATGAAATTAATTCTATTGAAGATTTAATCAACTATTTTATGACACCAGTAGAAACACCAGATTTTTTATATAAATTAACATCAGATGCTAGAAATAATGTTTGTCAATTACCATCAAATTTAAATATACAATTAGAACCAGTACGTTATAATCCAAATGAAGATCATTTTTTCAAAGTTAATGCTTATCCTGGTCGATCAACAATTGTTAGTAATTTGGCTGCTACTAGAAAATATCCAAGTTATCGTGTTAGTCGTTTAAAACGTATTCGAGTTGAATATGAAGATATGTAGTCAAGATTATCCTTCAATGATGTTGTATAGGCATTAGTATATTTATGTACCAATGCAAATCTGTATATTCATGTATTGTTTTCAATGAAAATATACTTTAATAATCTATATGATAAAGATTTTCTTCTGTTTTTTTCTTTTTACTTTTGTGTTGTTTAAACCTGTATATCCTGGGACCACCAATTAAGTAATGCAGTTGTTAGGAAACGGGTACTAGGTAAGGATGGCATATCAATTGATGAAGTAGTGAAACTTCATCAGTTGAGATGGCTGGGTCACGTGTTACGTATGCCCAACCCAACCACCGACTGCCCCGACGTGCGATGTTCAATGGTATAGGAGTAGATTGGAAGAAAGCTAGGGACGGTCAGACCAAAACATGGCACAAGTCCATGAAGTCACTGACAAGTGGTCTGAGTCATATCGGTAGGTGTAGACTACCTGGTTGGGGACTGCGAGATGATAGCAACCGATGGTTAGAGACCCTGAATGATATGGCTCAAAATCGTTTGCAATGGCGCAGGTCCATCCACTCTTTGTGTTCTCCCAAATTTTGGTCTCCTTATTCCTCGTCTCTTTTTTTTCTCTCAAATTTATTTCACTGTATTATACTCCTTGAATAATATCTTCAAGCCCTAATCTTTCCGATTACTACTTATACTCTTACTACCTCTACCACTACGGGATTTGAATCGACAACTGCATCTCTGTGCTAATATGGTGTGATAAGTCGAACTGATGTACGTACGTACGTAGTTCTACGTTGTTACTGACTGACTGACTTGTTTAAACCTTGTGATAGTAGTGTAGTTCACCCTTGTAGTGGGAACACTTAATGATTGAAGACCTGCTAAACAATATGATGTAAAGTTGAAAGCAGTGGATATTTTACTCTGTTCGTTACTGGTTTTACATTATCCACATCGTCAGTTCGTTTGTCTTCAGTATACTATATTGGGTTCCATGTTATGCTTTTTTATCACGTATGATTGTGTAGTCGATATTTTACGGTAGCATAACTTTTCTGGATTGAATTTTCAGTCTCATACTTGTACTGTCGACATTTCTGATCAGTTATTTGATTCTTTCTTTTTCAAATAGTTATTAGAAGACCTACAATGACCTTGTTTTAAATGAGTGTCTTTTTCGCGCCTCGAGGTTTAAAATGTAATTTAAAACAACAACTCCCAGCAAATAGTGACTTAACAAATGAACAACTTTTATTGTATGTATCCTTTTATAAATAAATATTAATCTCATTTACTGGAAGACTACATAATATATTTGGTGATTTAATCATGAAAGCATTATTGATTATTGAATGCGGTTCAATAACTATCGAACGATCCAAATCATCTCAGCATCAATTATTTCGAGTAATTTGCAATTTATGGTTTCAAAAAATAAATTAAACCCGTTTATTGCTTATAGGTAGAATCAGGTTCTGGTTCGGTTAGTTACTGTTCAAATTACACACGTTATTGTCGTTGTTTTAATACAGTACAGAAGTATATTAATCCTTTATATGAATTATGGGTAAATATCTGTTGTTTTGTTTGTGTTATGATTTCTTTATGTGCCTCTTTAGTGTGAACATAATCTTGCTATATTTCTAGCTGAAATTATGGGCAAAACAAAAGTGGTTTATCTAAATGATGATATAGTTTGTCGATCTTTAGAAATGTTATATAGCAAAGATATCATTAGTACTAATGCTTCCGTTGTTGAAAGTTCCAGTTAAAGTTTTCCTCTTATATGTATTGCTCTTTATTGGAAAATAAAGAAAACTTTTTTTGAAATTAAATTTTTCTCATTATCTTTAATAATCTTTGGGAGATGTCGCACAATGTATACAAATTCCATTGAAAACTGGTGTAGTGAATTATTTTCACGATGGTTTCTAAGTCAGTCAGTCAGCTACAACGTAGGACCAGGCACATATATGCATCGATCCACGTTGCCATACTGCACTAGCACAGCAAGATGAAGACTGAATTCATAAAAGTAGTTACTTCAATGATGGTAATTTATAAAAGAAAGATTACATTTGAGAATATAGTACAGGAAGAAAGAATTAGTTGGTAGAAAGAAATATATGAAGCGATTTTAATCTTATAGTTTAAGGGAAGACAAAGAGTGTATACACGTACTCCATTGTGATAGTCACACGGACTCCAACCAATTAGTCTACATCTACCAACATGGTTAAGACTAGGAGTTAGTGACTACAAGGAATGATGCTACGTTTTGGTTCGGCCACCCCTAACTTTCTTCCAATTATCCACAACAGTAGTCAGCATTGCACGTCGTGGTAATCGGTGTTCAGACATACGTAGTTATTAAGGCTTCGTTATCAATCGTCCTGATAACCGTTACTAAGTGAATCTCAAAGGTGTATGAATTTTACAATGCTGACACGAAGCGCCGATTACAGTTTATTGTTGCATAGCAGAAATCATTAAGCCACAGGGACACAAAGCGAATTCCGGCAGTAGTGCTAATGAGAGCGAATTAAGAGGTTGAGTGGATTAATAAGATTATCTATATATAGGAAAGCGAATGATTTATCGAGCGATTTAAGCAATTAACATCAGGCTAGAAAGAAGACTGTCACATGTAATCAAGCCTACATACTCATCCAGACATGATAATAGTAACGCAAAGATAAAGACAAATTGTTACTGTTCGAATAACATCGTCTGTTAAATACATTAATTCAAGGGTGTGATAAAACTTAGATGTAACCAAATTTAAGTGGTGATGTGTTATACCGGTTTACATTGCTGATTAGTGAGGCTTTTCTTTTAATCATTGTAAAAAATATTTTGATTCGTAATACTATCGTTTTTGTCAAACATGAAATTTTTGGCGTGGGAATAAACTCCACTCGCGTCCGCAGTTTTGATCTAGAACCTAGTAACCAACCAAAGTGAGGCGATAATTATTTACACTATCGTAATGCATAATGGAGGGGGTCTGCTGTCTTTTCTGGCTTACATAAAAATGCGAAGTTTTTATGAGGAAAATACCACTCCATCGCGCTTCGGACGTATCAAGTGTAGCGCAGTCATTTATAGTGGAATAAAAATCACAACATGACAAGAGTCGTACCTACAATTAATCCTATGATAGCAATTATTTTAAGAGATCTATAATTGAGTGACTAAACAAGCGAATACATTACCTTAGTTACTGACTACGTTACACTGAGATGACTTGACAGCGTGGAGTTTATCCCAAGCAACTTTTGTGGCACAGTAATATATTCTACTGTGGTTCTGACTTAATTGTCTCATTGCCGCAATCGTTACTAGAGAGTTACAGGAAACTTCAGAAAGTATTTGCCCAACCAATTATGATTTTAGATTTTCAACTTCTATTTTAAGTCGTTCATGAAATATGCACTCCTGGTGCTATGCCATCTACTTTACTTATTAACAGTTAAGATATTCGCTTGTAGTGTACTTGAAACTGGGTGTCTCGAAAAGTTTTTCACCTGTGGAGTTTAGAGCAAATCTAGACATGTTATTCTATTCCAATTTAACCTACTGCAACCCTAACGCTTTTCACTATTCATATAAATCAATGAAGCATTGTGAACTAAAAGGTGAGTCTTCTGTGTTGTGCAGTACGTTGTGTTGATTATTTTTGTGCTCGTTCCTGTAGTCATTTTATTTGGACTTACTAGTTTTTTTATTTGTCATACGAAAGATCTTGGTATTTCTTCATTTATCAATCTAGGATTTGTCCTAATAAACTCGATTTTTGCATCATATATGGTATCCTAATTCATTATTCTTTTTAGTATAGTAATGTGTATATCAATAACGGATTCACGAAAAAGAGAATGCTCCTCACACACAGGGAGTTGATCTGATGCTACCCAAAAAGCACGTAAAATATTTATAGGATTGGAATCTCATGGATCCAGAATCATCAAACCATCCTTCAGAACAAAGAAGGAGGGAATCACAACGAATGCTATCCAATGTCATGCACCCACCAATGATAACAATGATGACGATAAAGATCAGTTCTATCAGAGGTTGCAATTAATTATAGCGAAGTGCCTAGGGAACGACCTGACCATCCTGACGCGATACCTAAACGCCAAAGTTGGAATGGACAATGGATATGAAGATATTATGGGACGACATAGACTGACTGGGAGAAAGGAACGGGAATGGTGAGATATTTGCAAATCTATGTGCATTCAACAAAATGGTTATAGACGGCACTATGTTCCCTCACAAACGCATACACAAAGCTCCTTGGTTCTCACCTGATCACACCACAGAGAACCAGATGGATCATATTCGCACCAGTAAAAAATTCATAAGGTCAATGGGAGACGTGAGAAGTAGGAGTGGAACTGATATAGCTTCAAATCACCACCTGGTTGTGGCCAAGATGAAACTGGAGCTAAAGAAGCACTGGAAAACTGGGGAAACAGCAGTACAAAGGTTCAATACAACCTTCCTTCGAGATACTGACAAACTCAATGAATGCAAGATAACTTTCAACAACAGCTTACAAGTCTTGCGGGATCTACTGAAAGAAGAAGAAACTACTATGGAGAAATCAAAGAATCACCAACCTCAACATGTTAGGAGGTGGTGGGCTGCAAGAGGCATGATCATAAGAAGTGGATCTCTATCGAAATCTTGGGTAAGATTCAAGAAAAGAAGAAGAACGAGAAGACAGTAATTAACAACAGTCGAACAAGAACAATGAAAGTTAAGGCACAAACTGAATACGCATTAGCAAACAAGAGAGTGAAGAGGAGTATTAAAGCTGACAAGCAGGAATCTGTGGAAGTCCTAGCAACGACAGCAGAAGTAGCTGCAAGAGAAGGAAATATGAAACAGCTTTACGATACAACGAAGAAACTAGCAGGGAAGTACAGTAAACCAGAGAGACCGGTCAAGGACGAAGAAGGCAGGCCAATCACTGAAATTCAACAACAGAGGAACAGATGGGTAGAATACTTCGAGGAACTCCTGAATAGGCCGGCTCCAATGAATCCACCGAACATCGAATCAGCACACACAGATCTTCCTATAGATGTCAGTCCACCAACGACGGAAGCAATCAGAATGGCAATCAGACAAATCAAGAGTGGGAAAGCAGTAGGACCTGAGAATATACCAGCTGAAGCACTGAAGTTAGTTATAGAAGTAATAACAAACATGCTCCACCTTCCATTTACGAAGATTTAGAAGGAAGAACAAGTGCCGACAGAATGTAGAGAAGGTTACCTCGTCAAGGTGCCAAAGAAAGTAGATCTGAGACATTGTGGGAAGTACAGAGGCACAGACTACTATCGATACCAGGAAAAGTTTTCACCAGTGTTGCTGAACCGGATGAAATACTCAATAGGCGTCCAGCTTCGATATCAACAAGCTGAATTTTGTACGAATCAGTTGTGCACAGACCAAATCGTGACACTACAGATCATTGTTAAGCAATCAGCTGAGTGGAACTCATCACAATACATCCACTTCCTTGATTATGAGAAAGCATTTGACAGTGTGAACATTATGGAAACTTCTTCGACACTATGGTATAAAATTGTCAATATCATCCGAAATCCATATGATGGATTACACTGCGAAGTGGTGCATGGAGGACAGCTGACAGATGCATTTCAAGTGAGGAGCGGAGTCGAACGAGGCTACTTTCTCTTCCTCTGGTGGTCGACTGGATTATAAAGACCTCTACATGTGAGGGGAAGCATGGAATACAATGGACAGCTTGGATGCAAATAGACGATTTGGACTTCGCAGATGCTCTGACCTATCTGTCCCATGCACAACAACAAATGCAGGTCAAAACAAACAGTATAGCAGCTGTCTCTGCATCAGTATGCCTCAATATACACAAAGGAAGAAGTAAAATCATAAAATATAGCACGGAGAAAGCCAACGCAGTCACACTTGATGAAGAGACTCTGGAAGAGGTAGAAACTTTAACGTACCTGGGAAGAATCATCGATGAACGTGGAAGATCTGATGCAGACGTAAAGGCGAGGATTGGTGTTAGGTATGCAGAGAAATATACCAATAATTATCGTGTCAAGTCGAATGGTGTCCTTGGACGTTAAATGGACATTTCCTATTGGTCGATATTTATTTCACTTGTTACATATTATGTAAATGTTGTTTTCTATTTTTATGGTACGATGTGGTTTGTTTGTTTGGTATATAAATAGAGTATGTCTGAAATATAATGATTCATAACTCAGAGGCTGTGACTTGCGTTCTGGACTCAACTGACTGGGTTAGACAGCGAAGCAGGACCAATCGAGACACTAGGTCGTTCGTCCGTGTTTACGTGTCATTGAATCGATCAATAGAAACGCTGCTTATGAAAACCTGCAGTCCACCCGTTACCACAATTGGAAAAGCAAGGACAGCATTCCTAAGGTTGAAGGACATATGGAACCCAGGCCCACCGTCAACCAATATCAAAGTGAGAGTCTTGATTACAAACGTCAATACAGTCCTACTGTACGGAGCTGAAGCTTAGAGTACCACTACAATCATTATCAAAAGACTACAAGTATTTATAATCAATTATCTACACAAGATACCGATTGTCCGTTGATCGGATACCATCAGCAAAAGTCTACCGTGGGAGAGAACAAACCAACTTCCAGATGAGGAGGAAATCGGGAAAAGGCTTTGGAAATGAATAGGCTGTGCATTATTGAAATAATCAAACTGCATCACGAGGCATGCG